CAAGAGTTATGTGCGTGACTAGCAACTCAATAAAATCTATCTCCTTCACATGTATGAAAATTAATAAGGCTATAAATACCCTTAGGCTTTCGAGAGGTCGTGGAGTAGACGGGATTTCATCCTTTCTCTACAAATATGGTGGTCCGGATATTCCACTTCTTCTTCTAAAGCTGTTTACTCGCTCTATGGAAACCGGTTCTTACCCTTACTGTTGGAAAACCGCGTACATCATACCACGTTACAAATCTGGAGATAAGACTGACATGAACAATTACCGGCCAATAAATATCACTCCAGTTATTTCTAGGATTATGGAAAAAATTATAAGTGATGAACTTTCCAACTATTTACTTGCTGGAAAATTTATCAATGATACTCAACATGGATTTCTTAAAAATCGTTCTTGCATGACATATCATTTTGGCTTCTTTAATTTAGTCTATTCTCTACGTAGCCAGGGATATCTAGTCTTAGTGCTATATCTTGACATTTCTAAAGCCTTTGAAATGGTTAGCCACCAACTTCTTATAGGTAAGCTCGCATCTTATGGGGTTCAAAATCCTTTGCTTGCTTGGTTTGATTCCTTTCTCAGCAATCGACATCAAATAGTTAAAATTAACTCTTCATTGTCTAACGCTGTCCCTGTTAGAAGTGGTGTAATACAATGTAGTGTCTTAGGTCCTTTGCTCTTTTTAGTGTTTATCAATGATATTTGTGAAAGTTTTTGTGTCAGTAAGCCCCTTCTATATGCAGATGATCTTAAAGTAGTGTATTCATTTTCTCCACATGAGCTGAAAAATATGCGAAATTGCACCAGCATGGAGCTTAACAAGGTAGCACAGTGGTGCTTAAAATTTCAACTGGAGCTTAATACGGCTAAATGTGGGTGGATATGCTTCGGCGATACATCACTCAACCTAGACATTACCATAAATGGAGAAGTGTTATGTAGGTTACATAAAGCAGCAGACTTAGAACTTAGACATTCCCAAGACTTGTCGTTTACTGAACATATATTAAAACAGAGCTCTAAGTCTCAACATCTAACAGGTTATATAACTCGAAATCTTTACAACAATGAGTCACGTATTCTAATGTACAAAGTTTGTGCTCGACGTCTTCTAGAATATTGCACGTTTATTCTTAGCAGTGCGCTCATACAGGATAAATTAAGGCTGGAATCAGTACAGAGACGATTTACACTTCATGTTCTTGGAGCTGATTGTACATTAACTTATAATTCTAGATGTAATAAACCTGGTTTAGACCCTTTATGGAGGAGGAGACTCAAACTAAATCTTGTCTTTTTCTTCAAACTACTTCATAAACTATCGTTTACATCCAATCACGCGATTCAATATACAGAAACCTCTCATTATGACATCCGTAATTCCTTGGCACTAGTGAAACAAACTCATTCTAAATCATCTCTTTATATGAATTACTTCACCTGTAAATTTTCTAGACTCTGGAATAACCTACCACAATCTAAATCACTCCCATTATTTGTTCGCTGCATTGATGCATACTGTTCCTCCGAAAATGCATTGAATGGTCTAGCGCCTTCAAGTGTATCTCATTCCACAAGTGATATTTTAGGAACCTTAAATGTTTAGCCATCTTTATTAGTGAGTCCCCTAAGTAAAACCACCCACTTGCTGTCAATATGTTAACACCGTCCCTAGCAAGTTTAACTAATTTGAATAACATAAACAGTATATCCCTGTGTCACATGACACACGCATTTAAGTAGACCTGATTCATATATTTTGGTAATTACTGCTTTGTTTTTCCGTGCTCTGTGTTTTCGTTTTAATTTCTTTAGTTGTAGATAATTATCATTAATTCGATCTGGCACAGGAAATGACCTTAATTACACCGTTCATAAATCAACAGGTTGTCCATTTAAGAAAAATTAAAAGTTCCCGGCTGATGCATTGGATCGCTGTAATACATGTACTACTTAAACAACTACTGAACTAGTATACTTAAAACTTTCTTTTATCACATGTTTTTTCTGCACGTCTAACGTTACTATTTATATCAAATTGATCATGCCTGTAAACTGGCGTGAATTCTGTAATTATTATTTTCAGAATATAAATTATTATATTCTGTGGAATAATGAACATACACTGAAATTCCTTAAAATATTTACTTCTTACTCTCAAACTTATTCAATACATGAAAAGGTGTCGCTATTTCATCCATTATCATGATTATATAATTATTGAGTGATTTCACATGACTGTTTATTCTAAAAAAAGGTTAGAGTGATAAATAGATTTTTGTTTTGTAGAAGAAAAATTTTCAGATAAGGAACGTCATTCTAATTTTATTCACTTGGTAGTTATTCCTTTTTTTCTACTATTTCTTTAATAAATCTTTTAACTACCATTTTGAAATAATAAAAATAAATGAAACTAGGTTATATATTTGTTGTTGTCATTATTATTGTTACTATTATTATTATTATTTCTATTATCTTGGGAATTTTCATTCAAAAGGAACAATTATCTTTTTTTCAAAAACAGAGAAAAATATAAACAAATCGAATATAAATTACAATCAATGACAAGTAATTACAAAAAAAAGTAAAATACAACTAGAAAAATAAAGTGAATTATAATCAAAAATTCTTATCTACTTGATCCATTAACTTTCCTCACTCATCATAATAACTATTACATTCGATCCAATCAAAATAATTTAGTGTTTATATATTATATTAATATTATTTAACTGAATGGAAAAGATAATTTATTTAGGGTTTCTTCCTTAAATTACCCGTCTATTCATTTATTGATTTTATTTTTCTTGACGATTGGTTATTTTTATTTTTTTAGAATAGTGATATACTTCTTTTAAGATATATATATATATATATATATATATATATATATATATAATGTGTATGGGTAAACTATTTTATATTTTCTTTGGTTGGCAATGAATATTGACAAAAATCTTTTATACAAATCAATTTAGCCTGTTGAGTAGATCAATATATCTATCTTTATTTAGTTATTTGTTTATTTATTTATTTAAGTATTTGTTTACAGTAAATAACTTTTTCTTAAAAACGATGAGGGTTTGATTGAAAATCTACTTTATTAACATTTTGATGATACTTTTAACAGGTTATTTTCTAACAAGACAGGTCAAGGCACAAGTAACTATCTTGGCATTCCTGGTCATTCGGTAGATCATTTTGAGTGACTTATATTATGCTATCGTCATTTTCCAATAGGATTCCATTCCATCTCTTATAGCTATAGGGATTCGTGACTCTTATTTTTCTTCCTTTTACCGTATACATATTAGCAAACGATTTCATTAATATTTTCATATCTCGTATTTGTCCGTTGTTTTACATCATCCGTTTATACTGAACACTATTTCATGATTTTTACACTTACCACATAATTTTATTAGTGTTTTATGACTACTAATTTAAATTCCATTTATCCAAGTTTGACTTATCCCGCATATTGAACAATTGATTAGAACTTTTATGATTCTTATCACTACTTGTACACCTGTCTTCTCACAATCAATTTTTTTACCTGTTATCTGTAGTTATACCATCTATTTTATTGTAATCCTTGGAATATAAACAACTTGAATTGGTTAAATGAGAAAATGACTGATTTCGATTATCACTTTTTATGATCAATATATATATAGTCTTTTTTGAATAAATTTTTTTAAAAACGATAAATTCTGACAAATTATATGGAAATAAGGCTTTCTGTCTCGAGAGAGTATTCAATCGTTGACTGGATCCAACTAAGTTTTGAACAATTTTTAATTATACGAATAAATCATTTTATTGTTATGTCAAGTTAAATTTATTCACCAGTAATTAAATCTTTCAGCTCATCTAATGAATTAGACTTATTATATCATTTAGAGAGAGAGAAAGACATAGACATACCATATACTGAACGTAATTTCAACCGCTACATTTTTCTTAGACAGTAGCATCTAAATGATTTTCTATCTGAGGTAGACAACTAACCAGTTATCATAATGTAGTAATTTAAAGTATTGTAAATTATAAATAGATAGATAGATTTTAGGTACTACAATGAAAGTTGAATTTTGTAGTTTATTGTTAGATGTTTCTTTTATATCATGTCAATAGATTGAAGAAAGATAATATCTATTGTTGTTTATCTTTATTCTTCGATGATTGATACTTAATCCTTAGTGATTCACAAATATATATATATATATATATATATATATATATATATATATATATTATCACTTATTAAATCTTATTCAAATTTTAGTTTTTATTGCATTTAAGTAGAAATTTTATTTATCTAGGATTAAACATTAGAATGTTGTAATCGATATAGTTAAAACATTAATCATACATTATATTTAAAGATTTATGTATACATCTATCTGATATGAAATGAACTAGACAATTACAGACAATCTAATAAAAGAATTCAACCAATATTTCAATTTTTTCTCATCCCTTAGGACAAAAAACTATATTTCCTTTTCTTCAAAAGATTACACAATAATAGATTGTTATTTATATGAGTTGGAAATTTCAAATTTCAAACAAGCTTAATTCAAATTGTTTTCAGAAGGGGTTTTGTGGAGATTTTAGAGATTTCACTGGTTGAAATCATGAGTCAATTGAAGCTAAACCACCATGGAAAACCTGGAAGTAGTTAATTAACAATATTCAACAGCATATACTGAAAATGATTATAATTCTGAACATTTTGTGCGTACAAATATATGTATATTCTCATTCATAATAAGTTCAATTGAATTAAGATAGGGGATAAACTTGTTGTTAAAAGATTACTTTTGTGTTTTTAAATTATTTTCTATGGTTTTATTAATAATTATTAATATCATTATTGTCATAATTGTTGTCGAATTAAAATACATCAGTGGTTTTATTGATTTTCTTTGATATCGATTCTTTTATTTATTAATATAATATTTGATTTCGTTAACCCTTTTTTTAGTTCGTGAATTACTTAGCAGTGGAGTCTGTCCAGATGTAGCCAACGAGGATGGATTAACAGCATTACATCAGGTAATCTATTTATAAGTTGAACATTATAGAAAGATTAGTCAACAATATATTTCTTATTGATTAACATATTACTAAAGGGATTATCAATTATAAGTTGATTGTTTATCAACCAAACCAATTGTGATTTTATTTATTTAACAGTCTACCTCCAACTAATACTTATTAATACTAAGATAATACGGCTTAAAATTAAATCCTAGCTACTAAATACTGTGCATTACATCATATTCCTGGTAATCTATGTTGAAACGACTGTAATAAAGTGATGGGTTTATGCTTTATACTTTATTTCGGTAGTCTACATCAATGTGTTGCACTCGTGAATCTGTCGATTTAATATCTGTCGATAAATATGCTACAACAGTAACCTAATTTTTGCTAGTACAAATGTGTAAAATCCAATTAAATTATATTGATTATTCTCATATTTCAGATTATATAACATTCATTTTAAATTGCTGTGAGTTTATCATCAAAGTTCACCAATCTACAAACTTCTACTTTATTTCCGATCATTGAAATGAATCTTATTTACATTTATTATACAAGATAAACTTAATAACTAAAACAACTCTTTTGTAATAGGTATTCAGTTTGTTAGTTAATAGTTGGAACGACATCAGTCTACTTATTTTCTCATACAAATAGAAATATCACTTATTTGATAGGAAGTGTCCGTTATGTATATACAGAATGGTAGTGGGGACAGGGTGAAATGTAACTATTAAACCATTCTATTCGATCTTGTTTTTTTTTAAAAGTATTTTGCTAAAATTAAATTATAAATATCCATTTTTTCTGAAATTATTCGTTATCAGTGTTGTAAAATTAGCACAACCACGAATTATGTTTAATAATGTATAAATTGAGGAAGCACTGTTAAGTATTGGAAAATCGAACCTGACTATATTTCCTGTTTACTGAAATTAGAAGATAACCGGAAAAGTAAACATATATTCTAGTGTAGATACATACAGAAACACTTACAAACACTATTACCCTAAAATTTATAGTGCGTAATATTTCCTCTGTTACTGTCACCGAATAATTCTGTGTAAAGCCATCATAATTATTTATCATAATATTCGACTTTATCACCTTCATCTATTAACGAAAATAACTAAGAAAAACAATTCAGAGTTTGAACTGACTCAATTTTAGTTATATTTTGTTTTATTCATAAATCGAAATGTTTGCATATGATTGTTTTTTAACCCAGTTTAGTTAAAAGTACTATTTTGAGTACTCTTATATATGATATTTTTATGCTATTATATAACCTCTTAGATTTATAGTATTTTAAAGAGTATTTTGCATGATTATATATTATGATTAGTAGTAGTTGAGAGGTAAAAAGTATGAGAAAATCAGAGTCTTACGTCGTTTAGCCCGTCATTTATCACCTGAAAAAATCGTTAGTCAAAATACCAACGTATGCAACCTTGGCCTTGTGTCAAAGCAATGACGCGTTAACCAGCACAAGCAGCCTAGAGTCAACTCTGAGTTATTGTTGGTTCTTCTTGTTCTGCTATGCCCGTTGAGTCAAGAACACAATCATAGATTCTACTGTATGAATCGTGTATCTAAGACATAAACAGTTTATATACGAGCAAACTATACCGCATCACACCATAAAATAAAAAAAGACAATTATACAAGATCAAGCCAAAAGTGATTGTGTGTCTGAGAGACTACAATAAATAAATCTGCAATAAGTTAAGAATGGTAAATCGTATCGCAATAGCCAGTAAACCAAATAAAAGAATACGAATATATATATATATATATATATATATATATATATATATATTGTTACTTAATAATTATCCAATAAGGCTATATGTAATAGTAGCTCATAAATAATCCCTAGCAGTTACCGTTCATTTGTTGTTTGTTAGGATACAACACAGAGGAAAGGAAAAAATAGAACCTATTTATGCGCATGAAACATGATATTTGTTGTTGATCAGTGCAATAAATAAGTGAATTGAGGTCGTTAAACAAAAGTTCCTCATATATCAATCCCTCTCTGTTTTAAAGTACTTTTCGTGTGCATCAATGAATATATTTTATGTTTGTTTCCAATATCCAAATATTAACACATATAAATAGTTTATCATTACTGAATTCGGTGTCAGTCAGTTCGTTTTTTTTTCTTTTTGAATAAACGAATAACTGATTCTTCTCTATCTAGGTCTATATTTCAGAAAAATATTTCAACTTAGATTCCATACAAAACGTCCAAATGCGTTTCATTGAGATTCAGAACATGTAGCTAGCTATCATGAAGATATGTTTATGACGAGACGTTAATATTTAATAAATCCAGAAATAATAATAATAATACAGTCAACCTGAATGGCAAGTTAATGTAGGTCCTCCGTCCCTTTACGAAGTTGAAAAAGCCATAGGAAATCTGAAACGAGGAAGAGCAGCAGGCCCTGACAGGTTTACTCCTGAAATTTTTAAGGATGGTGGTCCAGTATTAGCAATGAGATTAACCGAGGTCTTAGGTAGGATTTGGGAACTGAACGTAATCCCATCTGACTGGTCTCAATCACTGATTGTGCCAGTCTATAAGAAAGGACAAAAGTCCTCTTGTGACAATCACAGAGGAATCAGTTTGACTAATATAGTGTCTAAAATATTAGCTTCAATAATACTTCGACGCCTAATCAAAGCTCGTGAAGAGCAGATTAGAGAAAACCAGGCCGGTTTTCGACCTGGACGTGGTTGTATAGATCAGATATTCACACTACGTCAGGTTCTAGAACACAGACACACATTCAGACGCCCCACAATCGTAGTATTTCTCGACCTTAAGGCGGCATTCGACTCTGTTCATCGTAAAATTCTATGGCAGTGTTTGTCACTGAAAGGAGTACCAAAGAAGTACATTAACCTTATAAAGGCTCTCTACTCGAACACAACTGGTAGAGTGAGAGCTTATGGCGAACTGTCATCAGAATTGATTACCTCAAGTGGTGTTCGTCAGGGCTGTCCACTCTCCCCATTCTTCTTCAACTTTGTGGTCGACGTACTTTTAGAGATAACACTCTCCTCATCTAAATTTCCAGGGGTTGAACTTTTACCGGGAGGTTCACTCGTTGACTTAGAATATGCAGATGACATAGTTTCATTTGGTGAAGACGCTGACAAAATGCAGAGTCTTCTGACCAGACCAAAAAATGGCACAAGTCCATGAAATCACTGACAAGTGGACCGAGTCATATTGGTAGGTGTAGACTACCTGGTTGAGGACCGCGAGATGATAGCAACCGATGGTTAGAGACCCTGAATGACATGGCTCAAAATCGTTTGCAATGGCGCAGGTGCATCCACTCTCTGTGTTCTCCCAAATTCTAATCTTCTGAATTCTTCATGTCCCTTTCTTTTTTCTCTTTCCAAATTTATTTCACTGGATTATTCTCTTTAAATAACATCTTCAAACGCTAATTTTTCTGATTACAGCTTATAATTTTACTACATCTAGCACTACGGGATTCGAATCGACAACTGCATCTCTGTGCTAATGTGGTGTGGCAACTCGAACTGATGTACGTACGTACGAAGTTTCACGTTGTTACTGACTGACTGATTGATTCTGTATTATTTAATCTATCGATTTGTGATTTAAAGTTTACAAAAAAAGATACCAAAAGCACATAATCTGACAATTAAAAAAAGTGTACTTTCAAAATGAATAAATTTCTTAAACACGAAATTAGTACGTATAATACATAAATTTAAAAGGAATAAAATGATTTGTGAACAGTAAACATATGTAGCTAACTTTGATAACATAATACATTGATTTGAGTAGGAAACAAGTAATGTTTATATCTATGTTATTGTAGTTAAAAGTACCACAGTAATTCGATAACTTACGCGGAAAAATAATTAAAGTTGGACAAATTGAATGTAATGGCATAAGAAATATGAATCAGATATTTTACATTCTTTAAAAGATCTTGATATTTAGCATTCTGTGTCATATGTTGTGGGACGTAAAATCTTTCTTTTCAGGGAATAAACAGTATACTTGATTTTCTGTATAGTAACCAAGTTTCAGTCATTTTTCAAAATCATGTTTGACACACTTTTATTCTTCATTGTTGTTATGATTACTAAAAAGTTCTGCTTTATTCAAATATAAGATTGCATATATTCACCAATATTAAATTCTATGGTAAAAAACTAGACAGTTATTTAGTGCAATGTTTTTCTTTTGATTTGCATAAGACGCCAGTATATAATGATAATTACTTTCAAAGCGACATAATTCTAAAAAGAGAAAAACAATATCGCATTTAAGTTTGATAACCAAAGAAACTTATTGTATTTTCGAAAAAAAACCAAAGACAGGTTAGAGAAGGCAATTTTTTCAGTAATATCATTAACTAAGCCCGCACAATTAGAATAAAGAGTGGTATTGGGTCATAAGTTACACGGGAATACCAAATATCGAAATGAGGTTATGCAATGCTATAACGGCTAATGAAAATAATGTTGAGATACAAAAAGTTGATTAATGATAACTGTTCACTTGATGAATGTTACGAACTGAATAATAGTAGTTAATAAATGATTATAGCAAAACTAGAATATCATCACTATAATAGATTACTGAGTATGGAAGATAGGCAGAGAAGTTAAGACCACAGTAGGATGAGTGATTGAAAATAGTACATTTGTACAAATAAGTTAGTCTTCAATTGGTCGGTTTCTAAAGCTTCTGTTTTAAGTATGTTTAAAGTAACACAACTTCCTTTTTGATATTTTTAAATAATTCATTGTCCAATGCCAATTTATTTCTTAACAGACTGCCATTTACATATATTATGTCAGTAAAAATGTGACTTAATAGCCTTAGTAAGCAATATCATTGGAAAGAAAATTCTCTTTTCTGAATTGATTTTAATTCTACACAGATGAGATCTATAGCGTTATCGTGACATTTTTACTAATTGTCTATAGACTAATGAAGTTTAATGAATTCGGAAGATGTAATTAGACATAGGTTAGACAGTATCATAGATGATAGTACCAGTTGCGTAATGAATAAACAAGTGATTGTTGGATTCCAATCTAAATAGAAACAGTTCAGCCTGGTAGGTAGTTTTATTCAAGCGATAAGTCTCGAAAAAGATAAAAGTCACTTCCTAAATCTCATTTTTGTCCCCTTATTTACTCAGAAATCTTACACAGTTTGCCATTCCTGAATGATGTACAATTGTTTCTCACTCAATTTATCAAACGTTTTCCACAACTACACTGCATATTATGAAAATAGAAAATACTCATTAGAAAAGAAATATTGTCACGAAATATCTCTACTTTATATTAATTTATCCGCCCCTTTTTTAGATTTTTCGCTTGTCATTATTTCTACCTATTAGTTCAAGATAATTAATTTGATCAAAAAAAAACTATAGTTTAAATTATTGTTTTATCATGTGAAGAATTCTCTTCTAAACAAATAATAATAGAAAACTCCTTGAATGTGCTTGATGTGAATATTGATCAGTATCGAATGAAAGCATTAAGGAAACGAAATATGATATATAATCTCTTTTGTTTAATTGTACTGACCTAGTAACTCCTAAGACATTCTGAAAATAAAATATAGTTTTTGAAAAATGTTTCAAGCCACAGGAATTCAACTAATGTTTACTATCATTAGGGTCTACCTGATATCTTTTGTTGTTATGGCTTAAATTCAAATGAAGCTGTAGACGATTATTCAGAGTAAATATTGTAGTGAACATTATTCAACAAGATTCAAACAGCCATTTATTGAACTAAGTACTTAAGTGGTTGATGCAATGACGTTTGAAACGAACGGTACTGGGTTCGAGTCCTGTTATGAACATGAAAGCTGAAATTCAAGGTCATCCAGTTGATGGGTCCCGGACAGGATGAAACACGCATCCTGGATTCTACTGCTAGGCACTAGTAATACCTGCTTACATTACTTGTTACTTAAGGCAATATCGAAGCAATCTGCACTGGATAAAGATTTGTTTAAAAAAAAACTGATTAATCACAATCCTAAACATCAGTCTGAAGATTCAGACAAACAATACAAGTGAATATAATTCACTTAAAACAAAATCTGCATCCAAATATCAATAAATCACTACAGATAGATATCATAAATATTTTGTAGTTCAATCGAAATGAAATAAGTCTAATGATTTATGCAATTATATCAAATTATCGCTAGATTTATGATGGTTCTTGAATTAAAACATGTTTGTAATCAATCTTACAATCAAAATATAAGCACATATCTCTATTATTTCTCCATATATATATATATATATATATGTATATATATATATATATATATACTGAATTCGTTTTGTTCCCTCAGCTGTATGGTTTGGTTGTGGAGCTCTCATCGTTCATCTGAACGACATCATCAGTACAAACTTCATGTAGAAGTTTCATTCTTACAAAAGATTTAATATATTCTATTAATAATTAGTTTGTTAATATTTCGAGCTTATTCTGAGTTAAATACATAAATGCTTTAATAATGAAACCAATAGGTATTATGTTGACAAAAACGTTATCGCATATAAAACATTTTACTGTGGTAGATAAAAGGTCATTTAATTCGATATATATATGATGATAATCAATATGATTTATGCTCCAATAATTGAGATAAGTATCACCTTCCGTTTATTTGTTTTTACGAAAAGTTTACAAAAAACTTTTATTTAAACATTACGAAAACAAATAAAATAGATTTTCTAGTTACTTTATTAACTTTTATGTTCTTTCGTTTAAAAAAACAAAAATTTTTTTCAGTGTTGTATTGATAACAATTTGGAGATGTGTCGGTTACTTCTTCGATATGGAGCAAATCCTAATTCTCGTGACACAGAACTATGGACTCCATTACATGCGTCAGCTACATGTCATCATACAGAGATGTGTAAAATTCTAATTGATCAGTAAGTTACAGTTATATTTTGGTTTAATTTTCTTTACGATTTGAATAATTTATGAAGTGGGACGGAAAAGTTTCATGGAGTTAGGTTAAAGCCTTTTGGTTAGATGCACTGAGCAAAATTGTCGTCTTGATTTACGTGAAGGAAAAAAATCGAGAGAATTATCTTTAATAAATTAATCAACATGAAATGATCTGCATGCCTGAATGTATAACGTGCAAATTATCTTACGTCATTTATGATATTTGCATCACTCCCAGTGTAGCTGAATTTCACCATTCAATACTTCCAACCAGAACGCATTCCAAAGCATATTACAAAAAAATGATCATATTTCCACTGAGATTTTGATGGAGATTGGCTTATTTCAGTTAAGAAGATACGACATCATTGAAGTTTCCTACCTAAGTCACAAATCGTTTCCATTATCTCACTTCTATCTGTTAGGTTACGGATAGTAGAAAGGTAATTTACCAAACTTATAAGATAGAAAAGAAGTAATTATACAATCAGCACTTTATCTTCAGCGATCCTTCAGGTGATATCGACAGTTGATTGGAATATATCTTCGTCGGTATAACCTTGCTGATTTGTTATCCTACACAGTTACAAAAATTAATCATAAGAAGTATTATGTCTTGAGACGCTAAGCAACATCACGTGATATAATACTTAAACAAAATTCGGATTACTGATTGGTTTGCCGATATCGCTATAAGAACCAGTGACCTGGGCATCAATTGACACAGTAACCAATTAACAACAACCAAGACCTTTATGCTTGTTGTCTTCAAACTCCTAATCCATTTCTCAATCAGAAAATGCAAATTAGAAGTAAACTATTTCTCTATGGTATTCAATATAACCATAACTCAAAACCCATACTTGGAAAGCCTGATCGTATAAGAAACCGTGTTACAAAAAGCCATATCATAAATGGTAGGGAGCGTAGCAAACAGTAAATTAATGATAATTAAAAAATATTAGTGCACATAAAAATGGTCAATAATTCCAGTGAACTCCTGCAGTTATTTTGAATATATATATATATATATATATATATATATATATATATATATATATATGGACAATAAGAATGAATACTGATTATGTGAATCCATTCGCTTCTTTCCAAATATTCGTTTTTTACGCAGTAACTAATAAGTAAACTAACACAAATTATAAAATATCTGGTCATGTGTTCGATGAAAATGAAAGCCATTTATTTTACTTTTTATGATACTAAAGTTTGATTGGTTGATTAATGAAGAGGAAAAAAAGAAACAAATTGAAAATAAAATAATTTTTTTATTTGATAAATATTTATATCAATAGTTGAAATCATGAGTTCCATAGAAAAGCTGGAAGCACTGGATGGCCGGTTCATCCTAGTATGGGACTCCTCACCAGTGCGCACCCATGAACCCCCCCCCCCGCGAGATTCGAACCCAGGACCTATCAGTCTCGCGTGCGAGCGCCTAACCATTAGACAACTGAGCCGACATCCAACGGTGTTAATGTCTAACCTCAACCAATCCACAAGATTGCGCCACCGTACACCATTTTCTTCAGCGAGTTACTATCTCACAACAGACCTGATTGAACTCCAATGGTCACAGCTTCTCACTAGAACTCCAGGAAATGCCTCTTGGAGTCAGTCACTAGTGAGCAGATGATTATTATCAGTAGGGGTTTTGTGGAATCTCGCGGGGGTCAGGGTCTTGGATGCACACTGGTGGAGAGTCCCATACTAGGATGAGACGGTCGTCCAGTGCTTCCAGGTTTTCCATGGTGGTCTATCTTCAATTAACTCATGAGTTCAACTGTTAAAATTACTTAAATCTCCACAAGACCCCTTCTGAAACAATTTATATTTTTGTTAAGTTTTAGTAGAAAAAAATGAACACTAGATCAAATAGAAAAGAAAACAGATTAATAGTATTTGACAAATTTTTTAAAAATAAAATGTTAATATAAACCGAATACATTAGAAGAGATTAATAAAAATGTATTATCATCAATATTGTGAACCAATAATATTAAATAATATTCTTAAGAAGTGCTTCATTGAATGTATTTGATCCATAGTGACTTTGTTCCCAGATTTAACTTTGTCCTTTTTTGGTGAGTGAATAGTATCATTAGTATACACTTGGAAAGGTGAGATTGATATTGGATTAAATGAATATTATATAAATGAAGATAGTTGTTATGAAACTACAGAAGTAGAATTCGTGTTAGTTCACATTCATCAACAAAGTGTACCTGAAATCTTGCGGAAACTGATAGTCTTAAATGTGTTAAATCAGCATATCCTAAATTCATAGTTTAAGGTGTTGCTATGAACAAGAACACAGGTGAAGACGGCCGATTTACTATTACAACGCAATCATTACAGAGTTTTTTGGCAGAGTGTAAAAACTATACACTGAATACCTTTTTTGCAAATTTCCATCATTCATTTTTCCCATTATGTATGATTCTCCCAATTTACAATTCCTTTCTAGTTCCGTTTTTGTTCTCTTCAGTTCGATTTTCTTAGACTTCTGGTGCAAGATTTTTTGCTTATTTATGTTTCGTACTACTTAAGTTGACAGATATAAGTGTGATACCCCCCTATATTATTTAGTTATCTAAATAACCACAGAACGTTATAGATAAGGTGTAACTGAAGGTTCGTTACTTAAATCTTGAGTTAGATTAAATTAAATCAATCATTTTCTTCTTTCAATATAGAATACGATTATTAGAATTCCTGCACTAATGTGAAATACTTTTCTGACCTTCGAACAAATTATCGACTTATTTTTTTGTAAAATGTACTTATGATCATTTTTTTTGTAACTGTGATAACAGAATAAAAGTACTATGGGACAGAAATTAGATAGAGAAATAAAAAATAATGTTGGCAATTAGCTAATTTTTGTTTTATACAAGTAAATATACTTACATTTTTATACTTAATTACATTTTCATAAATAAATACATTCTAGTACAAAATAATAAAATACGCATATATATGTAAAATATAAAATTCTGAAAAAAAACCGGATCAAAATATTTTTATATTCCGTTTTTTTCTTTTTTTCCTTTTGGAGAATTTTTTTTGCAATTTTTTTCTTGAAAATAAAAAAAATATTTTTTAAAAAAAATATTCTTTGTCAATATTTTCAATGAAATTTATTAATATTTCCAAGTGTAATATTAATGATTATCAATGATCCATTGATGAATGTGAAGTGGTAATTTGTTGTTTAGTATACTCGACTTTCAATCGATCGATTACAAATTCCAATTGTAATTCGTTTATTTTAGCTTGGACAGCAATACCGCTCATAACAAAAATTGTGTTGTTCACTTGATATTGTTTTACTTGCATCTTCCCATTGATGTTTTTGGACTGAAATTGATCAGTCACTATCCATCCTTGCTTATAATGCTTGTAAATTAAGGCAATATCGAGACATACGCACAGTATGCACATATGCCAATAAGAGACTGATCAATTTCAGTCCAAAAACATCAATGGGAAGATTCAAGTAAAACAATATCAAGTGAATTAAACTTCAACCCATTGCACAAGCAAGTGGCTATCAGGACTCAGTAGCTAAGTGGATAACACGATGTCGTTTGAAGTGAACGGTACTGAGTTCGAGTCCCAGAGTGAACATCAACTCTGAGATGCAGGTACATCCAGCTGACGAGTCCCAAACAGGACGAAACGCGCGTCCTGGATTCCACTGCTAGCCACTATCCATCTTTGCTTAAAAATTGTGTAGCTTTAAATTGAGTTAATAAACTTTTTACTTGGTAAATTAGCAGCAAAAGGATAATAATAATAATATGGAGTAATACCTTACTAAGTCATACCATGTACCATTGGTGAAATTCTTATCCTGTGATACCGGTTAGCTAGTAATATTTTATGTAAACCAATAATTTATTTAAATTTTTATCATCTGTATTGGTGTGTGTTAGTTATTCAAAATTCTTAAAAGATGATATGAATCTGTTGTTTGATTACATTCTATCATCAATAATTTTCCTTCTGGTACACAGTGAACACATTAAGTTGCCAACGATAGTATACGTTTACAGATAAGCATGACTGATTGAGGGAAAGTGAAAATGTAAACCACTGGATGTTACCTCAGTGGTCTGAAGGTTAAACGATCCCTAGTAGGCCTGAATATAATAGGTACGGTGGTATGTTCTCCTACTAAGGAACTCTGACGAAACAGCTGTTCAGTACTTCTTGATTTTCAATGATCGTCTAAATAAAGCCAGTCAGTGATATAAAACTTCCAATCGAATTTAGTAATTTTACTTGAGTTAGTATTCAAAGTGTTCTTGATGGTTGTCAACTATTTGTTTATCTTGAAAAATTAAAGAAGATAGATCTAATGATAAATACCGATTTAACTCCTAATATATTTCATTTTATGTTTTTAATCATTTTTTGTAGCGGTGCAGATCTACTAGCTATGAATGTTGATGGTAATATGCCTTATGAATGTTGTATGCCTGGACCAACACTGAATTTAGTAGAAACCGAAATGGATAAAAGAGGTTAGTTTTTTATTGACCAGAAATTCATAAATCGTTTACGTCACAAATCGATACTGATTGAGATACCATTGAATAATGTAGAATATTAAACATTGTGTAACTACGTAGTAGTATACGTTCATGATCTTGTCATGGACCTCATTTTTCCAGGCAGTAATTCTTCAGATTATTAATTTGGAATCCACGGATCCAAACTTTTAATCTCATTTAATTCACGATAAAACGCAACAATCATGTAGTACCTTTAGTGTTCAACTTCCTTACTCTATATATAAATGAACCCTGCTAGTCAGAGATTAGTCTCTAAACCAGTCACTACTGAGCCAACAATTATAATTTCCTATAAATCCTTTGTGGTAATTGATTTGATTCATACTATTCTTCACAAACTCTGTATCCAATAAGAAATTTGTACTAATAATATTATGTCATCCCTTTCATTTCCCGATTTCGCTGTATGTTTCTTAAGAATTAATTTTCCTATGCTTTATTTTTCACTCACATAAACGTTTTATCAACTCTAATTATTTCTCACCTCGTTATGTTGATATGATATTAGTAAACTTGAAGTAATAGACATCTATGCCAAATTCTTTATTCTATAAGAATAACCAATAATTCTTGGATTTTAATAGTACTTCAGCTATCTTCCGCTCATGATGTGAATTTGTTTGATCATTACAATATCTCTATATTAAGATCTTAGATAAATAAATAAAGAATATTGTTTTCCAATAAGTTCTCATCAGCTTCTGATGTTTTAAGTCCAAATTAATTTTCCAAACATGATAATTAAGTCTAAAACAAATACATATTTTCAAATTTTAGCGTGACCGCGGTGCCCAAGGGAAAACTGCTTAAAGTTGATCACACACGACCTTTTTATGAGTAATTTTTGTATTAGCTCTTAATTCTTGAGACCTTAGCGCCGGAGATGGATATCCGTGAGATAAGGCGAGGTGTGCATTTTTAGGGTCGACTTTTACTAATCCCACTCCTCCTTGTGGGAAGGCAGCATCGCTGTCATGCTGGTTGTTTAAAGAAAACACCTAACTGCTGTCAAACCTCTTTACAGTCAGCAGCACGACTTCGCCTTCGGACCTTGGGTTTGTTGCTTTTAGTCTTACCGCTCTTCAACCGACCTGTCTGGCATGGTAGGACCTTGAGCAACGGTTTTTCCAGCCAGTATAGCTTAGTTGCTTCATCACGATAGGCAAGCCCGACCACCACGTCAAGGTGGCAACAACGGTCTCTGATTGAAAAGCATAACTCAGAAGTACATAAATCTTGTAAAGGCTCTTTACTCGAACACTACTAATCGGGTCAGAGCTTATGGCGAACTGTCATCGATTACCACAACGTGCAATACTGACTAGTGTTGGGGATGGTTGGAAGAAAGTTAGGGCCGGCCAAACCAAAACGTGGCATCAGTGCTTGAAGACACTAACTTCTAGTCTGTGCCATGTTGGTAGATGCAGACTACTTGGTTGGGGTCCGCGTGACTATCGTAACCAATGGTTGGAGACTCTTGGTGACATAGCTCAGAATCGATCACAGTGGCGAAGGTGTACACACTCTCTTTCTTACCTTAAACTATGAGATTAAATTCGCTTCATATCTTTTTTTCTACGAACTAATCCTTTCTTCATGCACTATGTCCTTATATGCAATCTTTCTCTTATATATTACCACCACTGACTTAAATACTTCTATGAATCCGGTGTTCATCTTGTTGTGCTAATGAGGTGTGGCAACTTGGACCGATGAGTATATGTGCCTGGTCCTACGTTGTAGCTGACTGACTGAATGTTTGCACTTTGTGATTACTTGAACCTGTCCTTCACTAAAAGTAAATAAATAATTTTGAATCGTAACCTATTGTTTTAAATTTATCTTACTCGTCTAGAAGAAAAATACAGTTCCGATTATTTATCAATCATTAATGACTATTTTTTAAGTAATAAAATCTGTGTACCGTCTACTGGTCTACTTGAATTGACTACACTTAAATCATAAGCTCTACTTCCGTTAACAATGTACATTATTGGTAACTATGAAGATAGTATTTTATTTTTTGTCATTCAACTATCATCCCACTAAAAACCAGATAGATTGACAAATGAGTACTTACTTATACATAAAGTGTATAAAATACTAAATTTTACGGATGAAATTATCTCCATCATTAATTTATCTTGCTATCAAATAAATCTTGGTCAATTTCAAAATGTCAGATGGCTTTCGTGGATATTATAGTAATTTCAATTGTTAAGATCATGAGTCAGTTGAAGCTAGACCACCATGGAAAACCTGAAAGCACTAGATGGCCATTTCTTCCTGACCTGGGACTCTTCAACTGTGCGCATCCACTATCCAGCTCACGGGATTCGAACCCAGAATATTCGAACTCGTGCACGAACACCCAAACTCTGGACCACTGAGCCGGCATCTGATTATGTTAATGTTTCGCGCGAAAGACCGAGAGTCTTGGGTTCGAATCCTCAGAGGGGGAACATGGATGAGCACTGCTGAGGAGTTCTATACTAAAACGAAACGGTCATCCAGTGCTTCCAGGGTTTCTGTGGTTTTCTAGCTTTAATTGACTCATGAATTCAACTATTAAATTACTACAATCACCATAAAGTTCTAGTGAGAAGTAGTGACCAGTGGAGTTCAACCAGGTCTGTTGTGAGATAGTAACTCACTGAAGACAGTGGTGGATGTGTCGCTCAATTTCGTGGATTAGTTGAAGTTAGGCATCAACACCGTTAAATATTAAGCATTGATTTTGTAAAATGGCTTGTTTTAGCTCACTTAGTACAAACTTTCAAGCGTTTTCGTGTTTATTTACCTATTCTACGACTATACTGATTTGCTAAGAATGTAGTAGTTCATATAGCACATCCTTTTCAATACCTTCTGTTAGATAGATGGAATACGTAATTAGAAATTGAAGAAAAACTGTCTAGCTATGTGTTTTCAGGTAAACTAGGCTACATTAAATAACTTGTTAATAAGAGAACAGAAAATGTAAATTTTAGCTCAATCGATTAAACAAACCTGACATCTTAATAAACAGATAGATAAAAGGTAATATGAGTTTTCCGTATCTTTGTGTGTGTGGAGTTGCAAGTATGCTGGCTTTTAATTGATTAAATGTTTAGTATTTTGTTTCACGTACTTCATATGTTTGGCTGATTATGTGAGCATATACACACATCATATAATCCACCTTTCTATTTGCTTAACGTGTACACACATTCATACCTTCAAACTTCTAGATATTTATTCATAAATAACTGAATTTATGTGTCTGATGGCTTAATTAAAACACTCAACTGAAAAACGCTAGTTTGTATCGATGATTATTGTTAATCGATTTCGTCGGTTTTATTGAAAATGAACCATTTTAGATTAAATTTCATAAAAACAGAATGTTGATACAGTTTAGACGGTAGTCATGTGCAACGAAATTCAATACCGAAATGATTATTTTCTGATTCGTGTACACATCTATACCAGTTAGGAAACTTATACTGTATTATAGTAGACACTTTCGATTTAACCCATGAAGTGATTTTTTGAGGACTGATTGAAACCATAATACACTAAACAATCGTTCCCCTCTGATTTGAAACTATTCGGAAAAAATGCACCAAAAATCCAACCAAGAGTTTAACTTTAAAACTCTTAGAGAGCTCCTTGCAATTGAACCACTAACTTGAAATCACTAGTCTGCATTTCCAACTTCAATCGGTTCACAGTAAAACGCGACAAAATTAAATTTTAACAGTTACAACCAATTATTAAAGTTGGAAAACTGCGGGTCACTGAATTTTAAACATGCGATTTCAATGTAAGGTATTTGAGGCGAAACCTGAAGGTCTCAGGTCTTATTTCTGATGGTGACATGGGTTAGCATATCTGAAAAGAACTAAGACCAACCATGTGACTGTCAGTGGCTTCCCAAATGATATCATTTGGTAATGAAAACCGGCCATAAATTACATCTGTCTTCATAACCTCTTGAATAAAACTATTTTGAACTAATGCCAAAAATTTGATTTCCCGATTTGGCTGCACAGATCATCAATGAGTTTCAGACTCAGAAGTACAAGAATTTTCTATGTTTCAGGAACATTTAGTACGTGAACCGCGTTCATGAAACTTGGTTATTTTCCAAAGATTCAATGAAATATGGATTGTTTCAAAAATTTAATTAGAAAATGGAACTATTTAAGATGAAATAAACAGAGATACTGATGCTGTTAAATTATTGGTACTTTCGAAACATTGTTAGAATGTCGAAGGTATGACACTAAATGTAAATGTATGATAAACTAATGAATAAAGTCATAAAATAGAAATAGATGAAGTATTTATAAATTATACTTTATAAAAGTGTCGCAAGTTTTCATTCTGACTACAGGAGTAATAAAACAAAAAAGGAGTCAACGCTATTAAGCTTATAAGTTATCAATACCAAGGTTAGACTTGATAGTTTCAAATAAATCGAACATTGGGTTGAAAATTATATATCTTCTCTGAAGAAGTGGCTTACATTAAGTGACGAAACACCAGAAGTGCAATTTTTCTACTCATTGGAAAATAACAAAAAAAATACTATCCGGCCTAGTTATAAAACAATTTTATGGTGATTAATTCTTTAGTGTGCTTTTACTGTTTTATTCACGTCTTCTCGGAGCCTTCAACTAGGTAGTTGTTCATCATAATTAGTTTATACCTGTTTTAATCTATTATAACCGCATAATTACAGACTACACGGTTTAGTAAGTAAAAGTATGTCATATGAATAACCTAAATTCATTTGAAACAACTACAGATCAGGTTAAAAGGTTAGGTTTCATGATTTAAAAGGTAAGTCATTGTGTATAATATTGTGAATATGTGAATCTACTCAATTTATACAAGATAACCATAATTAAAATTAGATGATAAAATAAAACGATATTAGACGGTATTCGAAAATGTGGATAATCTGAGTTTTTTCAGTAGTTTGAAAGTATTATGCTCATGACTGTCGAAGTCTGTCAAGAATGCTCATCTCTGAAGTGTCTTTGAACTGGATGAGACAGGTGTTCAGTGATCTCTGATTTTCTATGCTTCTTCAGCTGGAGTCAGTCTATGGCACAAATCTACCTTCAAGATATATTTCTTCATAAAAGCATCTAATTCATATACATGTTTTTGCAGCTCTGTTATCAGTAAAGTGATATCTCATGGAAATAAATCTTGTAAACATGTTACCTTTCTAAAATATCCTTTATATCGAAAAACAACAAAAAAGGGGATAAAAATAAAGATTTTGATAATATGTGTATTTCTCTTGTTCTAAAAGGCATAACACAAGAAGAAATAGACGATTGGCATCGGGTGCCAGAATGTGAAATGCTTGCAGATATGGAAGCCTTATACAAAGCTGGTGCAGACCTTGATCGACTAGATGCACAAGGAGCATCTATGGTGAGTAAAGCTAAGTGGCCTAAGTTTAATTATTTTATATGGAGATGAGTTGATTTTTAGTTAAATTATCATTATCTTTTATAAATGGAAGAATAGGTTTATAATGTACTGACATAAAGTGGTTGATCTATATCAGTTTACAGTTCTTATATATCACATATTCAGAACCTAAGAAACACTATTCTTCAATTGAAAGAATGAAATAATTTTAATTATCTGAATATTCCTACACTTCAGTGACCGAGTGACCAATCAAATCAAAAGCATTTTAATGATTTTACTGGTATTGGAATTCTTCACTGCAGATATGGTACAAAAAATAAAAACCATCATTTTACAGTTAATCGATCCAGACAAACACATTTATTTCTATTACAACATCGAAGCTAATAAACAACTGTAAACTACTACTTAAAACTACTGAGTTATTCATGAATGATTCATATTTCCAACTTCAATGAATTCAAGATATTATTTTTATCATTGATTAAAAGCTCTATGAAATACTTACTATTCAATTAGTTCATTGAAATAAATTCTATTTACCAGTTGAATCAATTAAAATGAACTTGTGATAAATTACTTCATACATTCTGTTTGCTAATTAGATTTTACCTTTGAGTTATTTGTTCCCAGTTAGGTTACTTGTGTATAATTGTCGTAGACTATTTTCAAAATAGAAAATCATGATTGTACAAAGGATAAAATATCAGTAACTTTATTATTGTGTTCACAAATATACAAATCATATTCATATCACCCTCTTTAATGAATGAGAACACAGGCGGAGACAAAGTGGATACAACACTACAGAATATCTTAGTAAAATCTGTGAACCATACAGTAAATACGTCATTTGCAAAATGTCCACAAATTGTCTCAAACTTTATCGTTCCTTCATTTCTATACCAATCACTCACTGTTCTCGTTCTCTTCTCTCAGATTTTCTCAACCTTCTGCCACCAAACATTTCACTTTCGACTGATGATATATACTATTTACATCTATGGATATCAGTAGCACACACCACACCTCCAGTATAAAATAAGACATCAAGTCACTATCATATGTTTTTTTTTTCTTTCCTCTGTAATTCACTCACCAGTCACATTAAGCTTTTAATTTAAAAAAAGGAAATTATCCAAATTCAATAACCTAAGCTTTAACTGGATTTCCGTTTTGTAGTTAAAAAAAGATGAACTGAACAGATTTATTATGATTTGAATATCTTGACTGATTAATCATTATTTAAGTAATTGCTAGGTTTAATAATACTAATGATAAGCTATATCTCATCTCAATTAACATATTACCTATATTCATATGAAGATTATCTTAAAAATGTACTAATATTTCATGTTTCAGTAGTATTTATTATAGTACGATATCATTATTGTTTAATTACGTATATTCATGAACGGTTTAAACACTTCTCTTCTTATCTCTCAACAATAAGAGATATTTATAAATATAAACTAAAAACAATAATACCGATTCCATGGTATACTGTATATCACAGATAATAATTATTTTAATCATGAAGTGATAATAACTATTCTTAATCCTGAAATTTAATTTAACCAATTATACTGATCTCTTTACTTAGTGTTTTATGATTTATGCTTTACAAATTCCCACATATGACTTTTTTATTATTGATTTTCTTCATTTTCAATTCCAAACGTTATGGTCCCAGTTTGTTACTATATATGTACGTCAGATAAAGCGTTATAAAGTCTATGTATTTACCCCAATGTCTATAAATGCTTATTCACTCATAGCATATCTTGGCAAAAAAAGTAGAAATTCTGAGTACAACAGACATCACTCAATTGTTTCCATAGGCTCAGAAGTACACCAAATTCTTTAGTCAAAGTTATATGGATAAAAATCTAAAGTATAAGACTTAGATTCATCATAATGGTTGCTACATACGAAAAGAACGTCTAATGACAACAAAGTTTGTTTAAATTTAGATGTCAGTATTATTTAGTGTCAGTGTATATGAAGGTTCAAATAGACCTTTCCGACTGAAGAGTAAACTAAGGTATTCATATGTTTTAGAGTAAGATTAACAGTGACACAAAACATCAGTAAAAATATTTGAAGAATTTTATATACATATAATGAGGGCTTTAATAGATTCATTTTGTTTTGTTATTTTCATAGTGTGCAATCCGGTTATGTTAGTTTACATTCATTCAAGAGCCTTTCTGATTTATCTAAATGACGTTAAAATATTTGGACATGGACAAATCTCCATTGTTAAGTACCGCATATAATGCTTACATTTTATGTTTATCTTAAAGTTGACAGACTAACCAGAACGTGATCGTGCGGTTAGTGATATTGGCTAGGCAAATAACCTATCTACTCACCATAACTCACCTATAATTGTGTATAAACTACCATGCAACCACTGAAAGATTTAGTTATCTGCTTTCCTCAATATATTCGTTACCTTCGATTTCGTGAATTCATTCAACCTTTCCTACTGTAATTGATACTGTTACTACTTCTGATGCTTCGAGATTTGTTTTAGTAAATCCGTCTTGCTGCGCCCAAATAGTATGGTCACATGAAACGATACACATTTCTGTCAAGACCTTTGCTGCATATGACTGACTGAATGACTTCCTATTCATGTACAAATATATTTAGAGATAGTTTCATAAGAACCAAAAGCGTGTTGGACAAATCTGTTGACGGGAAAAAATCAAAGTTTTTATACTTATCAAAATCAAAAGTAAGAGAACGATTTCATTTAGATTGTCATATAGATGATCAGGAATCTCTCTGAAAAATTAATGATAGACTGACACGAATTTTCAAGTTATAAGGACAAAGTAAATCGAATATACTTACGAAATTGTCAGCAAGGGGTTGTGGAGAATGTTGACTTTCATTGAAATCGTGAACCGATCTGAGTAAGACCACTATTACAAAGTTGAAGGGACTTGATGGACATTTCCCTATTCGTCACCAAGTATACGAATCACTCAGCGCTTATGATGCTTCAAAATCAAAGTTTAATTTAGCTCAACAAGTTGTGTGTAACAACATATTTCCGGTGAAACATGCAAACAAGAAAGACGTTCAATCGGATCACCGATATCCCGATTAACTACAGAAATAATAACGAAGAGATTAGAAACTTTAGTTTTACCAATGACCAAATCGAATTTGGATACGTTTTGAAAATGGCACATTTGTTATTACCATAAAAGATAAACCGAAAAGTATTTATATTTTGGTCAGTAAAATTCACATTAGTGGTAGTATCGAAAACAAAACTACTATATCCGAATGTTCTGATCACAGTAGTTAATAAAAGAAAACTCATACGGAGATAAGTGTAGCCTATAAAATCACGAAATCTCTCCAATCAGTATTGTGCAAGTCAAGAGAAGCGACAGAAGAATACAAGCTAAATAAATTACAAGGATCTATACTATCTCATACTGAGTGCCTACCATCTTCATCTGCGAAACACCAACTACCTGATAAACGCTACGACATATCTTCACTAATATCAATATATAAAAATAATGAGATCAATTTGATCATGAAGACCGTTAAAAATCGAACAGAGTAGTCACATAGAGAAGTATGGAATTTTTTGAAATCTTGATACTCAAATCACACATCAATCGATAAACATATTAAAATAGACCAAATCTATTCCTCAATGCAGAAAAGGATATACGAGGCCCAAGTCGAAGATTGAACCAGAAAAAAACCCATCAAGATAAATAACAATAACAATTATGCTGATAGTAGAACAAGCTGTCCATCAACTGTGAAGAAATTTTAATAAGCTTCTTTTTAAAGTATGGGCTGATAATATTATTCAGAATAACAGAGAAAGCACTATAGTTAGACCTACTAGCTCCGACAGGTTAACAATAAAAAAGAATAGATTTATTTCAAAATTATTTAAAGCCGTTTACTAGCGTATCAAAGTATGCCATAATAATAATAAAGTATATATTATATACCTAATTATTTGTTTCTGTTTTAAACGATATATTATTGTGAGAAATGAATATTTAACATCTTTGATATTACTGCTTACAACTATCAAAACTGAAGTAATTAAAAGGAAGTTAGTGAATTTATTCAGATTAGAAAGACCACACTTTAAAGTTCAAAATATAGAAAACTTTATTAGTCCCTATCAAATTAATTACTTGATATTATGACATCGATATCATCTAATACATTGATTAAATATTCACTAGGTAAAAGAACTAAACTTTCAACTTTTTCTACCTAAAATTATTTCATTAATTTCATTTGTGACAATTAGAATAATATCTACTAGCTTTGACCAAAACGATTCACACAATCATTTACTTATCAACCAGAAAACTTGATCGGTCTAATTACTAATTACTTGAAAATAACCATTAACCTAAGATTCTTATATAATGCTCACATTAAAACATACCTTAAACGTGATAGAAATTATATTACAAAAAATCTCTCTAAGATATAATCTATTGTTTCTTATCAGAATATAGTTAGATTATGTAACTTTTCAATGCAAATTCATGATTACCACCAATAATAAGATAATTTACAGTAAGAAATAAATAAATATTTTAAATTTCAGTTGTTGTGATTCTCTTAGGCTTATTTATATGTTAGTTAGAAACTGGTTCAATTTTCAATGTCAATTATTAATTCAATATTCAACTTAACAAAATAAATTGTCATATCTTAATCGTCAAGTTATGATAAACATTATCGTTATCGTAATTTTAATAGTTGAGACCATGAGTCAATTGAAGCTAGACCACTATGGAAAACATGAAAGCACTTGACGGCCGATCCGTCATATGGTGGGACTCCTCAGCAGTGCGCATCCACAATCGCTCAATTTTGTGGATTAGTTGAAGTTAGACAGCAGCACCGTTGGATGCCAGCTCAGTGGTTTAGTGGTTCAGCGCTCGCGTGCGAGACTGATTGATTCTGGGTTCGAATCCCGCGGGTCAGTAAGTCAGTCAGCTACAACGTAGGACAAGGCATATATATGAATCGGTCCAGGCTGCCATACCTCATTAGCACAACAAGATGAACACCGGATTCATAGAAATAGTTAAGTCAGTGGTGGTAACATATAAAAGAAAGATTGCATATAAGGACATAGTACAGGAAGAAAGGATTAATTCGTAGAAAGAAAGATATGAAGTGATCTTAATCTCTTAGTTTAAGGAAAGACAGAGTGTGTATACATCTTCGCCACTGTGATCGATTCTGAGCCATGTCACCAAGAGTCTCCAAGCATTGGTTACGATAGTCAAGCGGACCCCAACCAAGTAGTCTGCATCTACCAACATGGCTAAGACTAGAGGTTAGTGACTTCAAGCACTGATGCCACGTTTTGGTTTGGCCGCCCCTAATTCTCTTCCAACCACCTCTAACACCTGTTAGCATTGCACGACGTGGTAATCGGTGTTCAGGCATACGTAACACGTGGCCCAACCATCTCTGTCGATGAATATTTACAACCTCATCAACTGATTTACCATCATTACCTAATACCCTGCGTCTAACGTCACTATTACTTACCCGGTGATCCCAACAGACGCCTGCAATATTTTTAAGGCATCTGTGGTCAAATACAAGTAGCTTACGAGTGTCTTCTACTCTTAAAGGGCATGTTTCGCTGCCGTAAAGTAAAACAGAACGGACTGCCGCGCAGTATACTCGTCCTTTTATTGATAGACGCATATCTCTCCTTCGCCAAAGGTGACGTAAGTTGGCAAAAGCCCCGCGGGGCGGGGTCGTGAATGCGCTCTGCTGAGGGGTCTCATACTAGAACGAAACGGCTGTCCAGTGCTTCCAGGTTTTCCATGGTGATCTAGCTTCACTTGATTCATGATCTTAACTACTAAAATTACTACAATCTCCAAAAATACCTGACGTTATCGTATTTTCTAAGCAAGAAAAACATCTTTTCAATTTTTTTTCGTAACTAAAGATAATTTCATTTTGATCTATCTATCTATGCGTGATAAAATTTAGTGAATCTCTATGCTTGTTTGTTCAGTGCTTTATTTTTCAAATTGTATTCATCATTAGTTTTGCTATAATTCCATTTATACCGTTATTTTTGGCTTCAGTCTACATCTCTTAATTTACTCTGTTTCAATTCATTGCTTTTTTCTGTTATGATGAATCTGTAAATTAGATTTTTGTAAAAAATAACCAAAATAATTTTACACGTCTTATCTTTTTCTTGTCTATTTTTTTTAAGAAATTTAATTTTTCATGAAACTGGTATTGTGTGTTCTGAATTTATTGACTACCTACTAGTTATTATTTGTTATGCAGTGAATTATGGATAGAAAAAAGATCTTGATAGGTTCGTATAAATGAAAGACAATGTGTCTTGGTACGAGTAATTACATAATAATGGAAGTAATAATAATAATAGTCTTATGATTCATATGGGGTATTCAAAAACAGTAGAATATTCTGAGTGAACCTCTGTTCTCGATAACTACCTTCTTAAATGACCTTTCAAATTTATAAATAGTACATTTTGGACGTAAACTAGTCGTAATCGGTGCTAAATTTCACTATTTAAAAAAATGTTTATTAGACCTATTTGCTTACAGCTTAACTGAAAGATTTTAATAAAATAATGAATAAATCATTGTAGAACAAGATAATGAGGTAATTCAAAATAACTATCCGCTCGAATACAACTTGTTTTCGAAACAGTTGTAATCTTCATTAGAATTTTGTGAATTTACGGGTACATAGAACACATATATTTTCAAATTGTATTACTTGATATTCAATCTATTTCTTCGTTTTGTAAACATTTATGAAAAAAGTTTCAGTTTATATGTTTTTGAACTTGAACTATTAAGCTGTAAATAATTCATTTTTCTAGATGTTATCGTCAAGGGAAACATTTGGAAACCTGTTGGTTGTTATTTACAACATAAGTTTCAGACTTCTTAGGAATGCATATTCACATCCCTAAAATTTGACAAAATCCAGGACCTATATTTTTCTTGGAGATCACAATATCTTTACATCCTTAAACGAGAATTCAACGACTCAGATTTCTAGCTTTATTCATCTTTCAACATGGTGTGGCCATCAAACAATTTCATTTGTAATAACTATCTCACAGACAACATGTTATACATTACCAATCACTGCGTTCAGCTAGAAATTCAACAAAATTCACCTCAAGAGATAGGATTCTGAATTTGGCACCGTGTGAACCCCGCTGTGAAATTCTAAACATGAGCGAAAAATGTATTTAATATTCTCTGGCCTCCAACACTTTACTAGTCAGCTAATGACGAAAACAGTCTTCTTATGTAATTTCCATTTAATATTATATTTTAAATAATTGTTTCGTTAGCTTAATTTTCAATCGTTTGTGATCTTAACCTTAAAAATACATTTTTTTGTTTTAATTTAGTTACACATCGCAGCTGCTAGTGGCTTTGAAGAAGTTGTTTTGTTTTTGTTAAAACGAGGAGCAAAAATTGATCTTCTTGATAAAGATGGTTGGCAAGCAATACATATTGCAGCTTGTTGGTGTCAAGTAAGTGTATATTATTCAATATGTAGTTTATGCTTACTCATGAGTAGCTTGTAGATTTATATAATTTGTGGAAACTGAATCTTATTTTTTTTTATTGAAATCACCAGTCTATCTAGGTTAAACAAGCATTAAAGACTATCAAGCACTGAACAGCTATTTTGTTCTAGTATGGTAATCATTATTGACGCTCATTCACAACTTCCTAGAACCCTAGACATTTGGTCCCACACTCGAACGCTTAACTTTTAAACCACTGAGCTGGTATCCACTGGTGTACGAACTTAACTTCAACCCATCTAAGATACTACCTGACTACTTTTTCCTCGTCTTTGCTAGTTATTTACCTCATACTGGACACAGTTGAACTTCAATGGTCAGAACTTCTCACTAGAAATTCGGAAAATTTCTCCTTTAGCTAGTCACTAGTGGGAACATGATAATTATCGATTTGAGGAATTCTGGAGATTACGTTTTCTTCAGAAAACTAAAAAATATGTTGTTAAGAATTTTCCTGTGGATTCTTTTAAACTCTGATCATTACTGCCTAAGTGTCATCGTTTACAATGTTTTAATAAACCATTAGTATCGCTGATAGATAACAGTTGTTGAAATTTGAGAAATTACCAAGCATTACTTATTATTATTGTTTACTTTCCTATAGAATTTACATCTACATTCAATAAGATCATAAACTTTCAATTTTGTCATCCTTTCTTTAACTGGTTTGTTAAAATATGAAAGGTAAAAATATCTTAATTCTAATTATGAGGTCTTTCATACCACAACAATGAACACTGTATTGAAATCTAATAAGATGTACTTTATTATCACAAGATCTATTATCCAATCCGACTATATTTGACACTGAAAATAGTCTTATCTTCCACATAATGATTTATCTGAATAACATACAGTACGAAAATATATATAGTGTTTCGTGGATGTCCATGTGTATTCGGTCAAAAAGTGACCAAGTAGATCTCCTTATGTAATTAAATCTTTAACAGTTAAACATTATTAAAAAACCGTTTTAAACAAACGATAAATATAATAACATTTTTGTTCTACCCACTTAGTGGTAATGTGGTATGTGCCACTTATATCGACAGACACAGGTAGTATGTAACACCAGTCAGAAGTGGAATCCCTGTTAGACGAAGGTTGAGGAGATCGGATTGAAAAGAACAGGAATGTAAATAAAGAATAATTGTAATAACAAAAGGAATGAAGAAATTATAAAGTTTGTAAGAGATAATTGATGGAAGGTGTGCAAATGAAGTATTTAATGTATAATTCTCGTATTTCGCTAAGATATTCTGTAATTTTGTATATATTACCAATAAATTGACCTTCTCTAGCTACGTTCGCGATCACTACAATTTTTACATGATCGATCATAAGAATTCGTCTTTTTGAATGTTTCCCTCATTAACTGAATTATAATTAAGTGATAGAGTTGTAGATTTACAAAGTAGACTTAATAAAATCACTAGGCTGATGCCCCTTCTGGTAACCAGAGCAACCATTTATTTAGGTACATGGAATGCTCGTACAATGTGGGAGACCGCGAGAGTCTTTCAAATTGACAAAATAAACAATCGAACATTGACAATATACGCTTATATAAATTAACTTTTGAAATTTTTCCAATTTACATACATATTTAAAAAAAACTAAAGGTTATTCAAAGTGAGACTATAATTTATGGACGAGCTTTGAGCGACGCTAGACTGACCTTGTGATCGTCCACATAATAACTAGGACCAAATGTGGATCATAAACCTGTGTAAGGAAGTATAATTACGATTTACAGTAGATGGTTAAAGTTAAGAATTGGATTTAAAGTTTTCATCACGAATTGACATAAGCTACAATGCCAAAACTCTTTTTAACCAAATGGACTAGTTAATTTCGCGTCAAAATCTAAGACTTGTTATCTTATACTCGATTAGTTCGTTCATAAATTATAGTCTCTCCGAAATAACATTTAATTGTCGAATTCATGAGTCAATGTAGACTAGACCATCATAGAAAACCTGGAAGTACTGAAGGACTGTTTCGTCCTAATATGGGTCTCCTCGGCAATGCGCATCAACGATTCAACCATTTTTATGATGATCTAGCTTAAATTGACTGATAAAGCCAAATATTCAATTACTACAATCTCTACATAACCTCTTTCTAAAATAACATTCCTCTTACATAATTTTAATAGATAAAATAATTTTAAAAAAAGAAAATAAACCACAATTAAATATCCTAAATCAAATAAATTAGTTTTAGAGATTAAATGTAAAACAAAATTTAGTGAAAATTCCCATTTTGCCATTTGGTAAATAAAGAAGGAACGAATTGAGCGAAGAAATTTCTTCGCTCAATTCGTTCCTTCTTTATTTACCAAAACAAAATTTAATGACTTGTTGTTTCAAAATTAGATTGTTTTCTAAATGAACTTAAAAAAGGGAAACATTCATATAGATATTTAGAAGGAATTCATCTATATTCAATGAAAACTTTCATTTAAATTTGATCGAATAGTTTCACAATGTTTGAGCGCCGTGTTAGTATGAGACATTAAAGAGGAAGAATGTATTTGTATGTATATATGACTTCAATTTACACCTTATTTCAAATCAGATTAATTGACTAGTGTACAATCAATAACAATAACAGATAACAAGTGATGTTTGAGTAGAAAAATTATTAATAGCTGAAATGGTAGGTAAATTGTAATTACAGTTAGATTTAAATAATTTAGATCAATATTTTTTTCGATTAGATCCTCATCGGTCTTTACTCTAAAATATAGTAATGTTTATTATCAGAAGGGGTTTTGTGGAGATTTTAGTAATTCCAATAGTTGAGGTCATTAGTCAATTGAAGCTACACCACCATGGAAAACCTGGAAGCAGTGAACGGCTGTTTCATCGTAGTTTGGGACTGATAGGTCCTGGCTTCCACTCTCGCGAGCTGGGATCGTGGATGCGCACTTCTGATGAGTTCCATATATATATAGTTCTAAATTACAATATGGGAATTTTTCAGATTTAAATAAATCATTTATTTTACATGATCGAATGCATGAATTTATTCTGTTTATATTCAGCTGTTCTATCTAATTTATTTATCTATCGATAAAATTAAAAACATTATCTCATGTTGTCTACTCATCAATTGATAATTTCCAAAGAGACAATAAATCATATTGGTTGACTTTGAAAAAGTTTTAAATAATAAAATAAGGATTAAAACGAAAAAAAATAGATGAAAAGAATTTTATTATTTTTGAAATGGTGAACATGAGATAAAATTACCTATTTAGTTTTGATATCAGAAAGGGGTTTTTTGTGGATATTATAGTAATCGAATAGTTAAGATCATGAGTCAATCGAAGCTAGAACGCCATGGAAAACCTAGAGGTCTCTAGCTCAGACGCCTAACCTCTAGATCATTGAGCTAGTGTCTAACGGTGTTAATGTCTAACTTCAGCATATGCTCACTAGTGACTGACTTCAAGAGGTATTTCCCGAAGTTCTAATGAGAAACAGAGACAAGTGGAGTTCAACCGAGTCTGTTGTGAAATAGTAACTCACTGAACACAACTGTGAACGTGGGGTTAGTTAGTTTTGATTAATAAAATATTTTGAATAACAACTGATTAACAAATAAACTTAAGTTTTATTCCTATCAAACTTCACCCCATTACAAAAGCTAGTGCCCATCTTCACTCAGTACGTTGGTGGATAATGCGATGGTATTTGAAGCGAACAATTCTGAGTTCGAGTCGTGGAGTGAATATCAACTCTGACATGCAGGTATATCCAGCGGACAAGTTTTAAATGGGACGAAACGCGCGTTTTCGATTACACTGCTAACCATCATCATCTCTGCTTAAAACAAAATTTCTATTACATGGACATGGAAATTTATTCAGACTCTTATAATATTGGTTATAAATCACTAATTTAAAACATACACATAACCTACAGTAATGTCTCATATATAAAACAAGATGGTTAATCCTTTTTGCTGAGATCAAACTTTTAAATGTTTAATGTTTGTGAGAGCAAATCGATTATTATCTTTAGTGGTTTTCATTTAAAGAAGATAACAATAGATAACATCCCCTATCGATAAATTAAAATTTACTCTTCCATACTTAGTTATTTCATGTATCTATTAAATACACGATTGTATAGAAATAAAAAGGTGTCCAATATATGTGTAGACTACATCCATTTGTCACGTGTCTCATTACTAAATTAAAAAGATTAACTCAATAGAATTAAACCAATGCCCCCAAACGCCCTGGTACGGTCGAGAGCGAGGAGAGTCCGCTCTTCCTCTAGAAATGATCTCACATAACTACGTGTATACAGCCACAGCCAGAGAAGTCTTACACACTGCCTTCTCGTGGCGGGTGTGTTGATTACTAAATTGAGTGGATGAAAAGCGAATGTCCGGATATCTAACCGTGTTGGTAGACACGGAGGGTCCACCTAGTGGAGTTGGAAAACCATGATTCTAAACTAATGGTGCACATGGGCCCAAGTATCCCGTAGGAACAAGTAACGTATGAACCAATTATTGGTCACTGGCTACCATAGGACTGCATCTTCCAACGTTGCTCTACTGCTTTGTGTACTAGACCTTTAGATCAAAGACTCGGAGTGTGGCCCCCTAAGAAAACCACTTACTTTTGTTTGGGCACCCGTGCAGTATCCAAGCTCTTACACAAAACAAATGATTTATGCAGTGCATATGTATCTTGTGCACTCTTCTACCGATATCTACGTGTTCAAATAAATATAAATAAATTAAACTAATGTAGTGAATGTTTATGAAAAATATCAATAGCCCTAGGTTCTTCTAAATTTATTTAAAATATCATTTTTACTGCTACTTAATCAGATATTAATGAGCATATATTATATGGTTATCAACCGTACGTTTTGTTTGCCTTATAAGTTTTGGACTAGAAGCCTTTACATTATTGTGGGTAACGTAGACAATTAATTATTAACTGATTATTTATTATAATTAGAAAATAGGTAAAATATCAGGACATTGAAATATTTGCAAAATTACTGTCAGTGAAAAATTTCCTTATATTTTTTTTAACAGCTCAGTAATCTATTCACGTTTACTGTCTAATGAATAACTTTTTTATATAATTAGTATCAAGTGTTTCCCTCACTTAAATACGTATCTTAGAAGGGATGTTCATTTCAATCTTAATATATGAAGACCATACGAATGATGACAATGATAGAATTTGCTATGTTTGAAGCGATTACAAGTTCACTTAGTCTGCGAACGGAACAAAGACCTGTGATCAAAGACCAATAAACTAGCTATTCTGATGCGTCCCATTCCCGCTAACTAAAGAGAGAATTCAAAGCTCGAACGGGTAAGTATCTTCCGCAAAAAGCCAGAAGCACGAGCGATAACAACAGACACAAATCAAAACGTATATATACATCACAAAAGCATACTTGAGAAGCGTTACAAAATAGCATACTAAAAAAACAACGGACTAATGGCGTTTAAGATTCTCCCAAACAGGAAAAATGACACGAAGGTTAAAAAGAGCACATTTGGCGCGAAAACAAAGAAATTTAAATTTTCAAAATAAAATTACAAAATTAGGACCTTTTCCAAGTGAGTTCTGGGGATCTAACGCCCCCAACAGAATTATGTGTAATTATCAATAATTGATAATTTCAAATACATTGAGTCTTATATATAGAACGGGGATAATAAATACATTTTTGTAACATCACAATGAGTAGAAAATCGCATTTCTAACGTTGCATGACTTAATGTACTCTGAAACAGTGAATTACATTAAATCACGAAACATCAGAAATACAAATTTCTGCTTGTCGAAATACTACAGAAATATATTGATTAGAATTATGTGTAGGTTTAAATTCACTTCATATTGTTTACTTGAATCTTCCTATTGATGTTTAGGACTGCAATTGATCAGTCTCATATTGCATATGTATATACTGTGCGTATTGCTTTAATTCACAAGATAGACTCAGTAGCTAAGTGGATAATGCGATAGCGTTTGAAACAAATGGTGCTGGGTTTGAGTCTCAGAGTGAACATCAGCTCTGAAGTGTAGGTACATCCAGATGGTGAGTCTCAACTACGACGAAACGCGCGTCCTGGATTCCATTGCTGGCCACTATCCATGTTTACTTATGCGTAGTTTTTTTATTCGATTTCGTGTATCATGGGATGTATTACATTCATAATAAATTAATAATATAATTTACTCCTTTCGTTGTTCAATTTAGATAGGAGAAGTGTAATAGAAATGAGCAAACTTAATGTTAACGAGTAATTAATTCTTTGTTATTGGAAATGATCCAAGAGTTTTGCCTTCAATGATAAATAAGAATTTTTTTTCAATGTTCACAACCGCATCATATTTTGTATCACTAAGTGGAACATTATGGAATTCATGTTTTTTCTAGTAGATGTTTATCTTAAGTCGTGATTTATGTTCAAGATAGATAATTAAGATCATTGTTGAGATCTAGGTTTTTTCAGATTGGAGAATTTTTCACATTATAGATAGTTTATTTGGGCTTTAAGTGACCCAGTAGTAATAAATCTCAACTGAAACATAACGTACTTTCGAAATCTGAATTTTCACACTTCATTTAACTTCACACAAAATGTACTTCATGTTGAGTCCCTTTTAGCTAAGTGGCTACATTTTAGATTTAGTCTATATCATGAAGACCTTAATTGTTAGTGACTTATCAATACATTTATCACTGTAGCACTATTGTTAATGTTTACTTTTCTTCTCAGTTACTGATACTTAGAATCATAAAATAATGCGGGATTTTTAAGAACCAGCTTTGATTGTTAATCATTGTGTAACTTAATTTCTCCATTTGAATTATACTTAATAATCGTACCATACTCACGACCAGACAACAAACATTCTTAATAATCCTTTTAATAAGTTAATGTAATTTATGGTGAGTTTTTTTATCGTCACAAGAGGTAAAATAATATAAAACAATAGATGTGTCTCAGAATATATCACATGACAAGATTGTTAAATGCAATGATAGTCAATCACATAATGGTTATTATGAGCACGATTCCTTAAAAAAACTAATCGTAATTAAAAGTTTTGAATGGTAATTTCTTTTATTGCATTTTGAAACAATATGGTTTCAATTTTGAAGCTGACGAGAAATCAAATTAATTTAATAGTTGAATTCATGAGACAAGTGAAGCTAGACTACCATAGAAAACCTGAAAGCACTGGACGGCCGTTTCGTCCTAGTATGCGACTCCTCAGCAATGTTCACCCACGATCCTGCACGCGGAATTAGAACCTAGGACTTATCGATCTCACGCGCGAACTCTGAACCTCTGAGCCAGCATTCAGTGGTGTTAATGTCTAACTTCAGCCAATTCACGAATTGGCTCATGAATTCAACTACTAAATTACTATAATATCCACAAAACCCCTCTCTGACTAGAAATCTTACATTTTCAATAATACATGATTGACATATCACTATAAATATAAAAACTAGTTTAACAGAACTTCTTTTCGACAGTTTTACTGGATTATACTCTTAAATAATAAGTAAAAAACTTTGCATTCCAAGTGTTTTACATCTAATGTTGCTATAGTACAATAGCATTTGTTTGCCTTTGTTCGTTTAATAATTTACTTTAAAAAAGGAGCATAATTTCCTTCTAACTTATTCATTAAGATTATATCGAAGCAATCCGCACGGGATGCACATATGACAACAAGACGGATCAATTGTAGTCCTAAATAACAATAGGAAGATACACGTAAGACAACACCACATGAATTTAGTCATTAAGAATCTCGAATTTCTCAATCAAAGATAATGATTCTTATTCATGTTAATTATTTCTATGATTATTCGTCATATAAATCATTCTTTAAAATATGAGAAAAATATTAGCCAGTGAAATTGTGTTGAGTACTTGACATGTATTGTAGTGAAGCAGAACACAGGTGAGAACAAATGATTATATTAAGTACGAAATTACAGAGTTACTTAATAAAATAGAAAAACCATACTCTAATACTTAATTTGTAAAATGTTCATTAATTGTCTCAGACTTTATTGTTCCTGTATTTCCATACAAATTGCTTTCTGGTCCCATTCTTCCCGTCTTGATTTTCTCAATCTTCTGCTGCGAAACATTATATTCCTGACTCGCGTTATATACTACTTATGTCGATATAAGTAGTACACACCACAGTATTATTGACTGTTTTGAAATAAGCGTATTCATGATTTTACACACTAAAAATTTTTTGTAGTATTCTGTAACAGTTAAAAGGTTGTTTTTGGAACCAATGAAATTAAGCCATTTAAGATGATAATGTTTAACCATTGTATTATTATTCTTAATAAATTAAAATATAGAATATTCTCATTGATCCACTTGATATTTATTTTGTTTATTCAGTTAGAAATTGTTGAATTACTTGTAAATTTCGGTGCAGATATACTAGCTGAAACTAAAAATGGTGAAACAGTATTTGATATATGTGAAGATATTGAAATGCATACACGTCTAATTGAAATTAAACAAGAAGTAGAAAGAAAAAAATCTCAACAACAAGATTTACTTAATAAACATGGTAAACCACGTGAATTAGTACGTCGACGTAGTAGTACAAATCCAAGAAGGTAAACTGTTGAATAATAATGTATTATCCCGTTTTTTTCTTCGTTTGTTTATAATTAGAAAATTTGCTAATTACATTAACTATCCTTAAAAACTAAACGACTTATCAGATTTACACACTATTTTGTATCGTATCATGAAACGATCGTGAAGATTTATAGATAAATACTATCAAATAGTGTGTTATTCACTGAGCTAGATGGTTTAACTGCAAAGTCTACATTATCATTCTGCATAATATTACTAGCATCTTCTATCTGAATTAGATGTCTGTTTTCACTGATATCGAGATAAGTATCAACACATAATTCTTATGATTATTGTAAATAAAGAATTCGAAATTTGTGAATATTTGTAACAAATCACTTTAAGCTTTACATTTATAATGAAAACTATAGAATATAATGCATTCAGCATTCTACAAGTTGAAATCTCTCCTTTAATAAATTTGATTTATCAGATGTTTTGTGGAGATTTTAGCAATCTCAATAGTTGAAATCATGAGTCAATTGAAAATAGACCACCGTGGAAAACCTGGAAGCACTGGACGGCCGTTTCGTCCTAGTGTGGGACTCCTCAGCAGTGCACATCCACGATCCACTCCCCCACGCGAGATTCGAACCCAGGACAATTATATCCATCATAATTGTGCTAATTGAAAAAAATTCAAATAATGTGGAATTCATAAGTAGAAAGAAACAACATTTTAGTATTCCCTTATTTCCAATGAGTCTCTAACTGTTGATAATCATATTAATAAAACTTATATATATATATATATATATATATATATATATATATATATATATATTATAACATAAAATTGACCTCAATAACACCAAACAAATTATGAACAGATTATTTTATTTACCGATTATGTTTTTCATGTAAACATAAACTGTGTATTGATTAACTTAATCCCCTTTAATGATGTATACATTAGTGTGTGTTATGAAAATAAGATGCGTTAATTATTTTCTTTCAATACAATTCAAATGAATCTCATCATGACACAATAGTTATTTTAATGAAAATTATATGTCATAATATTCAACGTTTTCTTTGTAAAATCTATATAGGTTTATAATGTACTTAATCTAGAAAATTAAATGTTGACATAACAATTCGTTCTTTTCATCTTGATTCGAAATGAAAGATGGATGGTGGGTAGAAGTGAAATCCAAGACGCGCGTCTCATCCTATTTAGGACACGTCAGCTGGATGTACAAGCAGATGGCCATCGAGACTCAGTAGCTAAATGGATAGTGAGATGGTGTTTGAAGTGAACGGTACTTCATTCATGTCACGGAATGAACAATAACTCTGGAATGAAGGTACATTCAGCTGACGAGTCCCAAATAGGACAAAATGCGCGTCCTGCTAGCCACTATCCGTCTTTGCTCACAAAGTTTGTGACATAAGGCAATATCGAGGCAATCCGCACATGATGCACATATGACATCAATAGACTGATCAATTGCAGTACTAAATAACAATGGCAAGATGCAAACAAACGAAACAAGTGATTTCCAAATGATGTTGATAGATGAATATATTGTTTTCTGTATTGCAACCAATGTTATCTAAAATTAACTCATATTATACATTCTAGAATGTTCAGTTCGTATTTTTTAAAGAACTAGAATGTCATAATAATAAATATAAACAGTAAAATATTAATTCAGTTTGAATGTACAATAATTAAGTAATGGAATGAATGTAATTAGTTCTGAGTAGATAGGAAAAGAAATGATTTAACTAAAGATGTTTAGGTAATTCAGTGAAAATTTACTTCAATGGAAAAAAAATACATCAAATATGACGTAATAATAACAATTGTTAAAACCTATAAATCTGTACGAACATATATTGCTCTCAAATGCCCTGGTATGGTCAAGGGTAGGGAGAGTCAGCTCTCCCTCTAGAAATGATCTCACATGACTACGTGTATACAGCCACAGCCAGACAACTCTTAGCCACAGCAGGGGTGTTCTTTACGAAATCGAGAAGATGAAAAGCGAATGTCCGGCTATGTAACCGGATAGGTAGACACGGAGGGTCCACCTAGTGGAGTTGGAAAACCATGATTCCAAACTCATGATGCATATGTGTTCCAGGATCCTGAAGGAATAAATAACGTATGAGCTAATGGTTGGTTACTGACCACCATGGGACTGCATCTTCCAACGTTGCTCTACTGCCTCGTGGATTAGATCTTTAGGTCAAAGACTCGGAGTGTGGCCCCCTAAGAAAACCACTTACTTTTGTTTGGGCACCCATGCAGTATACAAGCTCTTACACAAAACAAATGATTTATGTGGCGCATATCTATTTGGTGCCTCCTTGTACCAATGTTTATGTGTTTAAATTAATAAAAAATAAATTACACATAAAATTACCGATTTGTAACGTTTTTTTCAAATTAGGGTTTTTGAAAATTTGTTTGGGTTGTTTAAGGTTTTGTAAAAAGAACTTTCATTTAGCGTATTATGCATGTAATCTGAACTAGGAAATTGTTGATATTCAATAATACCAAAATGTTTAACTTAATCATCCTTTATCTTACCCAGTAATTATAATACTACTCAACAAACCAAAGACTGTAGTCGTTTATAACGATCCTTAACCTGTAAGTAATCATCAGTCAGTCAGCTACAACGTAGGACCAACCACATATACTCATCGGTCCAAGTTGCCACACCTCATTAGCACAACAAGATGAACACCGGATTCATAGAAATAGTTAAGTCAGTGGTGGTAACATATAAAAGAAAGATTGCATATAAGGACATAGTACAGGAAGAAAGAATTAGTTCGTAGAAAGAAAGATATGAAGTGATCTTAATCTCTTAGTTTAAGGAAAGACAGAGTGTGTATACATCTTCGCCACTGTGATCGATTCTGAGCCATGTCACCAAGAGTCTCCAAGCATTGGTTACGATAGTCAAGCGGACCCCAACCAAGTAGTCTGCATCTACCAACATGGCTAAGACTAGAGGTTAGTGACTTCAAGCACTGATGCCACGTTTTGGTTTGGCCGCCCCTAATTCTCTTTCAACCATCTCTAACACCTGTTAGCATTGCACGACGTGGTAATCGGTGTTCAGGCATACGTAACACGTGGCCCAACCATCTCTGTCGATGAATATTTACAACCTCATCAACTGATTTACTATCATTCCCTAAAACCCTACGTCTAACCTCTATCATTTACCCGGTGATCCCAGTAGATGCGAGCAATATTTCTAAGGGATCTGTGGTCAAATACAAGTAGCTTACGAATATCTTCTACTCTTAATGGCCACGTTTCACAGCCGTAAAATAAAACAGAACGAACTGTTGTTCAGTAAACTCGTCCCTTAATTGTTAGACGGACATATTGTCTTCGCCATAGGTGACGTAATTTGGTAAAAGCCAAACGAGCTTTCTGAATCCATGCTGAGATTTCATCAGACAGCAACCCATTATGGATGATCAGACTTCCAAGATAAGTGAAGTTATCAACGCGTTAGACTACTTCACTCCCTATCCTTAGGTCAAGTGTTGACGCAGACCAGTCCTGAAGCAACAACTTGCATTTAGAGGGAGAGAAGCGCATTCCAAACATTCTGGGCATTGTTGCTCAGTACTATTAAAAGACTGCATTTTCTCAGCATCGTCACCAAACAGGACTATATCATCTGCGTATTCTAAGTCGATAAGTGGACCTCCTGGAAGGAGATCAATGCCCGAGAATTCAGTAGACGAGAATGTTATTTCCGTCAATAGGTCTATGATGAAGTTAAACAAAAATGGAGAAAGTGGACAGCCTTGACGGACACCACTTGAGGTTGCAAAAGTAGATGACAGTTCGCCATAAGCACTCAAGACCACTGTAAGTAATCATTGAACTTTATGACAGAATAGAGAGAAAATGAGATATTTCTTCTGAAAGGAAAATATATATTTCACAACTAAAAATAATACATACTAAGTTACTATTATATATTTTAAATGATTTTATTTTATCTTAAGCGGCATCATACTGATTTATTATTTTTAAATAAATGGTTAGAGGTTTATTTTCATTCGATTCTGACCTTATTCGGAGAAATAATGAAAATCGATATTTTAGTTTAGTTTGGAGCTTCCATAACTGTATATACCACAAAATGTAGAACATGAAAATTTTATAAGGAGTGAAAAAACTTTCAATCACTGAGCTGGAGTCCATCAACTTCCATTTTTAACTTTCGACATATATATATTTCGGTTATTTTTTTGTTGAAGAAATATTTTGGATATACTCTATGTTTTAATTTCATTGCAGTGCATCTATTCGTCGAACAAGTATGAGAGATAAAAAAATGATCTCTTGGAAAGAAGCTAAACAAGAGGCTGAAATGCGTGGTGTAGCTACAGTATCATCAGATGAAAAGAATACATCAAAACCTTTACGTCCTATACCCAATGGATCTACAGATCATATTCTTCAAAAATCTACAACCTATCCAGAATCCCATGAACTTACTAGTCCCAAAACTATTCGTGGTTCCACACGTAGTTCACATCCCGGTCATTCCTCAAAATCTTCAATCCCACCAACATCGTCTCCAATTTTAGCTAGTGTAGTAACGCATCATGGTAGCTCTTGGTCAGGCAAAGTACAACAAAACAACACTGTTACTGAAGTTAACGGTCCTACTCCATCACCTAATCTTCGTAATTCATCCAGAATGAAAGATAAAGAGGTTTGTTATTACGTTTCGTCATAAAACAGCTCCACTTTTAGTGAACATTCATGTATGCATAGAATCAGTGTTTTTCAGGCAAAATAAGTTGACAGACGAAATCATAGAACAATGTATTTGAAACATCGCCGAGTGATTCAATCAATGATAATGTTGTCGTTTTTTTCCGTATGGAAACCAATTTTTTCAAAGGTTTCTTTCAGAACTGTAGACTTATTGAACACCAGGTGTTTACTTATCAATCATTCAGTCACTGACGACTTACCAAATCAGTTCTTAACGTTTATATATGTTTGGTGCAAGCAGTAGGGTTTCTCATATGTACTCCGTCTGACTGAGTTAATCACATATTTTACATTATCAAGCTTATTATATATTACCAAAGAACATATGTATAATTCTCAATGGTATACAGATTTAAAGCCCAATGTCCTAATAATATATTTCGATTTAGTCACTAAAATCATCATCAGTTAGATAACTTTACCATATGACTTTGTCTATCTATTTAAACTACTAATATCACGTTCTAATCAATTAGCGATATATTCGTCTGGAACGATATCAGAACAGCGTCAAACATATGATATATTGGTATAAGTCACTATACCCTCTATAGTATGTAAATTGATCTCCTTGATAAATCGTAACTAGTACTCTAATAGCTACCCAGTTGTGTGAACTTCCCGAATATCATGAACGGTTTATCAAAAAGGATCTTACCAAGCGCGGACTCTTAACAGTCTTAAAGAAGTAACTTACTCCATCAAGTTCAAGTTTATAAATCACTTTATGAAACCATTCGAAAAGTTGGTTATTGTAATAAACTAGAAGCATAAAAAGAAAATTACTCTCAACTTTAAGCTTATCTCACTATCTACTAATTATTCACTTAAAATCAATTACTTACTTACTTACGCCTGTTACTCCCAATGGAGCATAGGCCGCCAACCAGCATTCTCCAACCCACTCTGTCCTGGGCCTTCTTTTCTAGTTCCATCCAATTCTTGTTCATTTCTCTCATGTCTATCTCCATTTCCCGGCGTAATGTGTTCTTTGGTCTTCCTCTTTTCCTTTGGCCTTGAGGATTCCATGTGGGGGCTTGTCTTGTGACGCAGTTGGGTGCTTTCCTCAATGTGTGTCCTATCCACTTCCAGCGCTTCTTCCTGATTTCTTCCTCTGCTAGGATCTGGTTTGTTCTCTCCCACAGTACGTTGTTGCTAATAGTGTCCGGCCAATGGATCTGAAGTATTTTGCGTAGACAATTGTTAATAAACACTTGTATCTTCTGGATGATGGCTTTCGTTGTTCTCCAGGTTTCTGCTCCATACAATAAAACTGTCTTGACATTTGTATTGAAAATCCTGACCTTGATGTTGCTTGACAGTTGCTTTGAGTTCCAGATGTTCCTCAGTTGTAAATATGCTGCTCTTGCTTTGCCGATCCGCGCCTTCACATCTGCATCAGATCCACCCTGTTCATAAATGATGCTGCCCAAATACGTAAAGCTTTTTACATCTTCCAAATCTTCTCCGTCAAGTGTGATTGGATTGGTGCATTCTGTGTTGTATCGGAGAATCCTGCTTTTCCCTTTGTGTATATCCAGACCTACTGCTGCTGAGGCTGCTGCCACACTGTTCGTCTTCTCCTGCATCTGTTGTTGCGTTTGGGATAGAAGGGCCAGATCGTCTGCGAAGTCTAGATCATCCAACTGCATCTTAGATGTCCATTGTATCCCGCGCTTCCCTTCAGACGTTGACGTCTTCATGATCCAGTCGATCACCAGGAGAAAGAGAAAGGGTGACAGTAAGCAACCTTGTCTAACACCGGTCTTCACTTCGAACGACTTTGTCAACTGTCCTCCATGCACGATTTTGCAGATTAATCCATCGTATGAGTTCTGTATGATATTGACTATCTTCTGAGGCACGCCGTAGTGTCGAAGAAGTTTCCATAGTGTTGTTCTGTCCACGCTATCAAATGCCTTTTCGTAGTCAATGAAGTTGATGTAGAGTGATGAATTCCATTCAATTGATTGTTCCACAATGATCCGTCGAGTTGCGATTTAGTCTGTACACGACCTATCCTTACGGAATCTTGCCTGTTGGTCACGAAGTTGGGCGTCTACGCAGTCCTTCATCCTGTTTAACAATACCCTGTTGAAGACTTTTTCCGGTATTGAGAAAAGAGTGATGCCCCTGTAGTTATCACAGTTGCTGAGATCGCCTTTCTTCGGTATTTTGATCAGAAGTCCTTCTTTCCAGTCTTTTCGTACTTGTTCCTCATCCCAAATCTTATTGAAGAGAATGTGGAGTATCCTTGCAGTTACCGCTACGTCTGCTTTTAGTGCGTCTGCTGGAATGTTGTCCGGTCCTGCTGCTTTGCCACTCTTGATTTGTCTGATGGCCATGCTGATTTGTTCAATTGTTAGTGGGCCAACATTGATTAGGAGGTCCGTGGGTGCTGCTACGATATTGGGTGGGTTCAGTGGAGCTGGTCGATTCAAGAGTTCTTTGAAGTGTTCTACCCACCTGTTTTGTTGTTCTTCAATGTTGGTGATTACCTTGCCTTCCTTGCTTTTCACTGGTCGCTCCGGTTTACGGTGATTTCCAGAGAGTTTCTTTGTCGTGTCATACAATTGTCTCATGTTTCCTTCTCTTTCAGCCTTTTCCGCCGTCGTTGCTAAATCTTCCACATATTTACGTTTGTCGGTTCTGATGCTCCTCTTCACCTGTTTGTTTACTTCTGTGTATTCAGCTCGTGCCTTGGCTTTCTGTGCTCATGTTCTGCTGGTATTGATTGCTGCCTTCTTGTTCCTTCTTTCTTGAATCTTATCCAGTGTATCAACAGTGATCCATTCCTTGTGATGGTGCTTCTTGTGGCCCAGGACCTCATGACATGTTGAAGTGATTGCCTCTTTTATCCCTTTCCAGTTGCTCTCCACAGTAGTTCCTTCTCCATTGAGTAGATCATGAAAGGCCTGGAACTTGTTGCTGAGGACTATCTTGAATTTGTTGAGTTTGTCAGTATCCTGAAGAAAGGCCGTATTGAACTTTTGTGATATTGTCCGCCCCGCTGTCCAGTGTTTCTTCAGTTTCAACTTCATCTTGGCGACCAGCAAGTGATGATCTGATGCTATATCAGCTCCTCTCTTGGTTCTCACGTCCTCTATAGTCCTCCTGAACGTTTTGTTGATGCAAATATGGTCGATTTGGTTTTGTGTAGAGTGATCCGGTGAAGTCCATGTGGTTTTGTGTATGCGTTTATGTGGGAATATGGTGCCGCCTATGACCAGTTTATTGAAGGCACATAGATTTGCAAATCTCTCACCATTTTCGTTTCTTTCTCCCAGTCCGTGTCGTCCCATGATGTCTTCCAACCTTGGCGTTGAAATCTCCCATCAGAATGGTCAGGTCCTTTGTTGGGCACTTCTCGACGATTGACTGCAGCCTATTGTAGAATTGATCCTTAGCGTCTTCATTGTAGTCGTTGGTAGGCGCATAGCATTGGATGATGTTCATTGAAATACCCTCTTTCTTTGTTTTGAACAAGGCTTTGATGATCCTTGGTCCGTGAGATTCCCATCCTATAAGCGCATTTTGTGCTTGTTTGGACAGCATCAATGCAACTCCTTGTGTATGTGGTGCATTTTCTTCTTCATGACCGGAGTATAACAGGAGCTCTCCTGTAGTTAGTCGTTGTTGTCCAACTTGTGTCCAATGTGTTTCACTGATCCCAAGTACCTCTAGGTCGTATCTTCTCATTTCTGCAGCAATTTGGAAGGCTCTCCCGGTGTCCCACATTGTACGAACATTCCATGTACCTAAATAAATGGTCGCTCTGGTTGTCAGAAGGGGCATCGGCCTCGTAACTTCCGAAGGAATTCGGCTTTCATCATGAGGCGTCATAGTTCTTCTAAATGAAGACCTTCTGACTCTAAGGGCAGAGTTTAAGTGGTTTGAATAATTTTTTTCTGGTTAGCGTTTTTTTTAGCGAGTTAGTTTTCTACGGGATGGGGACGCTAACCCCATGCCCAACCCTCCTTTATCCGGGCTTGGGACCGGCATTTGCCTGCGGAGGGACTCCAGGCGGAGTTTGTATTACTTTACATAACATGTTAATAACGTTGGATAATAATTCACCTGAATCAACCCTTTAAAAATGGCCACCTCATCTGCACTTTCGACGCAACACTGGTGTCTACCATTTTTATTAGTGTTTACCACTAGCTTTGCCCCCCGAGGGATTCCAGGCGTAGTTACTTAAAATCAATAGAAATCACTATTCCTGCATTCATCACACTCTTGTCTTTCTTCAATTTTCAAATCGGTCGCCGTTTTTTAACCATTCTCATTATTTCTTGCAATTGTTACTTTTTCCATTTCAGGATGTGTTGATCAGAGCTTGTTTATTTCTTTATGTAAAAAACCAAACACCACTTTTTTAAAAATTATTATATTATTTAATAGTTGAATTCATAGGTCTATTTAAGCTAGACTACCTTAAAATCATTGGATGGTTGTTTCGTCCGAGTATGGAACTCATCGGCAGTGCGCATCCACGGTTCGAACCCTGGGTCACCGGCCTCGCGCTTAATTTATAGACAACTAAGCCGGTATCCAACGGTGTTAATGTCTAATGTCCACTGTATTGCACGACCGTCCACCATTGCCTTCAGTAAGCAATTGCTTCATAACAGACACGGTTGAACTCCACTAGTCACGGCTACTCACTAGAACTCCAGGAAGCACATCTTGTAGTCAGTCACTAGTGAGTATATAATGATTATTATCAGAATGACGGTTTGTGAAAATAATCAGAGTGGTCTAGCTTAAATCAACTTATGAGTTCAATTATTAAATTACTACAATTTTCACAAACCCTCATTCTGATAATATATTATTTATCAATTTGTTGTAACCGATTAATTCATTAGTTCACTTGTTATAACCGTTATTAATAATCATTATTTAATTTGCTAGTTATAAAATGAAGTTAATTACTCTTATGAATTTATTTTTCGGTAATAATCTACCAGCAAAGAATATTTTAATGTTTTCTAATATGTTAAGAATTTACTGATTAACAAAACCTATAAATAGATAAGATTGTAAATCACGAATATATGAAATTGTAATTTATTTAAACAATTACAATTACATTTTGTCAATCATAACAATTTAATTAATAGTTATTGATTTTAGACGAATGAATTATTGGAATTTTCGACTACATTTTCCCATAAATCAATTCAAACAAAGTAAATGCAGAAAGGATTGAAACACTGAACAGTTAACTTTTTTTATATCTTATAACACTAAAAAGTTTCATATTAGTACATATTCTCTCTTAATTCTTAACGATTCCAAGACGTAAAACTTAAAAAAGAAACACTGTTTTCTGACCCACTGATTGATGTTTTAAAAGGAATATAAATCTAAACAAAGATGTTAAGTAAGAATTCATTCGTTATACAATCCTTTTCAGTTTCAGTGAACATCAGCGCCCTCTATATAAGTATTTATATTTGGTCCTACAATCAATGTCCTTTTTTACTGCAATACTAGATAGCGTAGTATATCCAGTGGTTCTAGACAGTGGTCCAAAATATTCACTTCCCCGATTATTACACTATGTGATGTAGGTTCAAAGCACATGATGAATATCAGTACCTTTATGATCACAGAAACGCTTTGCTGTAGTCTGAAAACTAGCACAAAACGTAAACTTAAAGCTTCTCGATTCCACTCAACCACCTAACTTGTTCATATAATTCATGAAAATCGTTTTTAGTAGATTGATTAATTTAAACCCAGTTTTCTTCAAAGTTTCATTCGTTAGTAAAGTTCCTGAGAGTTATGGAGGAATTGTGGTGTGGGTTAATTATGTACACATAAGTAGCATAGAACGGTCAGACATAGAATGTATTTCAGAAGATCGAGAAGGAAAGAACGGGAACGAAATGCATTTGGTATGAAAATGCGTGAACAATGAAATTTGAGACAATGGACTGATATTTGCAAAAGTAACAGTCAAATTTGAGACGATCGATTTATATTTTTCAAATTCACTATTAACTATATTGAGATGCTCTGTAATTGTGTGCTCAAATACATTCGATTGTCCCCACTCGTGTTCTTGTTCACTATAGAATTAATAGTCATTAACTTTCGCTTGAGACTCCTGTTTATGAATAACATTGAAAATAAAACAACTGTCCAGTAATTCATTCATTATTTTATTTTGTGTTACAGTAACTCACTATATATAGTTTTTCATTCGTATACTATAATCTGAATACATACCATCGTTCTTCGTTGTTTTCCTTTTATATTCAATTTATAATTAACATGATAAACCTGCCGTTTTACAACTGTTCTTTTGTCGATTATTTTCTTTAGGTTGACCTATCCAAGCGCAACAACCCACAGTCTACACTAAATAACGACTCTGGTCCAATAGGTGTTGTCAGTCCATCTCCTGTTGCACGTCATCGTACAGGTCATGATAAAGAAGTAAGTTGATACTCTAATAAATAACTTACATAGTAAATAGTTTGAAAGCTTCTTCATTTAGCTTACTTATATCCAATGCTATTTATATCCTGATAAGTCTTCGTGAAGATTAACTACTCAAATATTGTTGATCCATTTATGAGATCACAACCCAACCTAAGTTAGACAATCATTCAGAACCAGGAAGCACTAGACAGATGTTTTGTTCTAGTATATGACTTCTCAGCATTGAGCAATCATGACACGACTGGAGATCGAACCTAGGACATCTAGGTCTCTTGACCAACGTCTAACCTTTTGACTATTGAGTCAGTATCCAACGGTACATATGTCTAACCTTAATTGATTCACAACTAATCTACTGTTGCTGTCAAAACTGAAATTTATCAATATTCAAACCTGTGAAGCATTGGTTAGAAGCCAAATGCTTTAACTAACAAGCTATCCCTGAAATTTTACATCAATGTTAAGATATTATTTTCAGTAATAAATATAAATTACCTATATTAAGAAAGTTACAGATTTGTTTAAATTACACGAACTATAAAAAATTTATTTTGAACTAGATAACAAACATGATTTATATAAAAATTAAAAGATCTTAGATTGTATAGCATTCACTTACTGTCTGTATAGTTAACATACAGAAGAATAACATCTATCAATTATGGTATCAGCTGAACAGCATATACATGCTACTACTTCTACTATACTGGGATTTGTCTTGATAATTTTACCTCTCTGTACTAATATAGTATGGCGATATGATGAGACAACACACGTATCCGTCAGATTCTACACGTTCCATATAACTGAGTGATTTATCTGATTTATATACTGGTAATTAATACAAGGTTTCTTTTGAAACTATTTTTTTATAAAAAATATGGTCAGTGTTTACCTTCGTGTACACATCAGAAAATGTAGAAATTAAAACTACCTTTCTGGTAGAAATCTTCTTTTCCTTAAAATTTATATAATCTAGCTCATTTACTAAATTTGTGGTTACGTTTGACTCTGAGTCGAACTTTGTGTGAGTCAATAATATCATCTAGTTGTTTGAGCTAAATTGGAAGAGTTGACATTGGAACTTAAGATCGACTTATTGGAAAGTGAACTAACCGTACAAAACTTGATATCTTTTGTATATTTCATAGACATAATTAATAGATTTATCGTTTCGACTAGGAAGTGGTTAAGGGATATTATTTTGCAAAAAACTTTTATTTTACACATTTTACAAATGAAAAAAGATAAAACTATAAGAGATTGTCTTTTGTTTCTTTTCTCTTTCAGAGAATTGTCAGAGTTCCGTTGGGTCCTGTACAAAATCCTGAAAATGTCGGCACATTGACACGACGACCTCAACAGACAGAATACGGAAGTAAATCTCCACCAATCAGCTCACCCGACCTATCATCTCAACATCATACTCTAAGTCCTCAACTATGTCGAACAATATCTGGCGTTGAAGGGTTAGCTAATTCAGATCAGTCTGGCATTCACCTTAAGGCTCGAGTAAGTAGCCATGATAATGCATACGCATCTTCTCTTCCTCGACGCGATAACAATAACCAGACGACTGATTTAAACAATCAACCGGTTCGTGGAGAAAGACGTTCCTCCACAAGGAAGAAAAAACCAATATTATCAGAGCAAAAGCCATCAAGAAATGACAATAGAGAAACTGATATTTCAGTACATAATGCATATTGTGCACTGCCGTCTAATAATCCGTTTCAAAACAATCAACTTCGTAATGAAGAAAATCATCCTGACAGCCAAAATATTATTCTACGTTCTCCAAACATCAATCGCAATGATTTTAAACAAATAACTAGAAGTAGAATTACTTCAGGTCAACAAAGTGGTTCAGGACAAGTTGTACATGCTACAGCATCTCTACCAAGAAGGGAGTTAATCAATTATGGAGATGATTTAGGCTCCAGACCGAGTGGTAAATGTTGTGTAATAATGTGATCAAACAATACTTAATCATAACCATTCTTTCCATTTTAAATCTATTATACATTGTCTATTTTACAATCACGAACCTTTCCATATATACATATGTAATCCTGTAACAACAAAAAAATCAGAATTCGCTAACTCGGTGATATATGTAAACAAAGCGTCTGACCTATCTCATATTATCATAATCTTACTGAAACCATCAAAATATTGTACATATCTATTCAAATTCCATTTTTCCTCCTCTTTGTTTTGGCTTGATTCTCTTTTTACCAGTTTTTTTCCTTATCTATACAGTTACCAATTGAATGAAGTAAAAAAACAAACAGTAAACAGATTACTTCATCACGTCCAAGTTTGATGTTTTCACAGTCTTAACTTACCAAATCAAAATAGTATTTTCTAAGTTAAATGATTTTAATTTTGTTCATGAATTTATTTATTTATTTTCAGTTACTTTTTTTAAAAAATTAGAAAATGAAAAAAAACAATACTGTGTTTATTGAATTCAACAAAATGTCATGTCCATGTATTTATATGTATGAATGACTGATTTTGGCCACAATACCCTTTTATATATGGTTGTTTAGTGATATCCAGAGTATTATCTGATAAAATTTTATGTAATCTATAAGAAAAGCAACAAATTGATTAGGTTATCTATTTGTTTGTTTGTTCTCTTTTAAGTCTGATAAACTTATTTTTATTTTCTCGTACTTGGAACACTGTCTACCTTTAAACATCATAGCATATTTGCTTCATTGTCTTTTTCTACTTCCACGAATACGACTATACTTCATAATAGTTAATAAACATTGAATTATTAAGATGAGATATTATATTCAGTAATTATTAAGTACGTATATAAAAGTCGACCAGATCTAAGTATTTTGGAGTGTAATAATCGACAATATAAAAGAAAATATTGCCACAGAAAGACATATTAGCTAACTGATATCCCCTTGCCTTTAGCCGAAGGCAAAACAACTCGTCAATTCGCTATACACAATTACAATTAATTGTCTTTGGAAGAAGAATTAATTATGTACATTCTGATTAACTAGTGTCTTACTTTATCTGCTGCGTCAATATTAGGGTTTATTGATGGTTGCTTTTTTGCCGACAAGCATATGGACAATTTTCAATAAATTTTAACTTGATCACAAAGCACAGTTAAATCATTTTACAGTAATTCACTATTTGACAATCGAACAATAAATTCCACATATAGTAGTTCTCACAAAAACAAAATACTTACACTGGAATTGTCAAATATCTCGATAAAATTGTTACTTTAATTCTACATCAGTAGTTTCCATATATTAGCTTTTCTTAATCATCCATATCCAGATCAAAATACGACGTCTCAATATAATTTATATATAGTGAAATTAATACTTTTCATCACAAGTACAACAATTGACTGAATAAATGAGAATACATAAATCTGAAAATAGAAGTGATAGTTTTTTTTTCTTGAATAACCATTAAAACGGTAACTTTAAACTTTGAATTCGTTATACTAAAACCATATATATACATGAAATCAATCAGTGAATCGTATTTTACTCACGATGCCTGCTTGTATATCTGGGCTACCTATTCCAGATATCCCAACACGTTATGTCTTTGTTTGTTTTGATACATCATTATATCAATTAACTGTATAACAGTATTGACTAAGTGAAGCTACTCAATGTTTTTATTGGGCATTAAGGAAAAGGTGTTTCAGATTATAGTGACTTTGAAGGTTCTTTTAAGATTTTATGATGCATCATCCTATTAATTATCGATGTACCATTCATGTTGATTAGTTTTCAACATAAATATTTACAATTATGAGGAAATAATATTTGTTAAACAGAAGGCTAGTCCATATGCAAAAGTCCAATTGTAATAACACAAGATGATGGGAATTTCAATCTCACGAAATGATCAATTGTTTCGAAATGCTTTATAGCGATTGGATCATAGTACCACAAAATTTTCTTGATGGCCTTCTTGAATATCTGAGCTACCTGTTCCTCCCATTTAAACATTCCAACAAGTTATCTGTTTCTTTAATTTGTTTCAAAGCATTATTATGTCTATTAATCGCAAAACCTATTCAGGTGCGTTTATGAAAAGTTTACAACCTATCACCGTACAAGTTACAAAAAAGTACAACCAGAGTCATCGTAGTGGCTGGCAAGATGCATTGAGAAAAAATGAATACTATTCAGATGTCGATCCCCTTAGCTTCTAACATCGAACTGACGATCACTCAATATTTATCGTAAGGATCAATTAAAAAATAAGAAAAAAAGGGTTTGTTGAAATACTTTGTGTTTAAACTTCTATATTGTACCAAAAATATAATATAGAATAAAGCCAATTATAATAATAATGATAATAACAATACATTAACTTATTATTATTTATATTTTAAAAGCTATAAATGGAGATCAATGATTTAACCAAAAATAAGTATCACTTGTTGACAGAATAAAAACGGTGGACCTAATAAATATTGTTTTTCAAAAGAAAAAAATATCTACTAGCTATAAATAAACTAGAAATAGGAAATTCTTATATCTGTTATGATAATGTATTAAGATGAAGATCGTTATTATTATTATTATTATATTATCGAAATTAAAGGAACTAATTAATTTAACTTTCTTATATTTGTGTTTACTAGGATAAAAGGAACAGATTGCTATATTCATTATTTGAATACTAACTAATTGTAGTTGTTTTATTTATTTATTGGGAATATCAAATTCGCTGGTTACATTTTAAATCCCAATAGTTGAAATCATGAGTTAATTGAAGCTAGACCACCACAGAAAACCTAGAAGCACTGGACGGCCGTTTCGTTCCAGTATGGCACTCCTCAACAGTACGCACCCATGGACCCCCCCGCCGCGAGATTCGAACCCAGGACCTATCAGTCTCACGTGCGAGCGCCTAACTATTAGACAACTGAGCCGACATCCAACGGTGTAGATTTTTGGGATTTACTGTTTGGTTGAGATCCAGGCGATTATTGTAACCAAAACAAATTAATATATTAGTAATATCCCAATGAGTAGAAAAATTAAATTTTCCGACGTTTCGCGACTCAGTGTAAGGCACTTCAAAAAAATAACTAAGTCAAAATTAATCCGAGTTTAAATAGTACAACAGAACATCACAAGAATATTATGTATTCAGACCTGTTTTTGATTGGTCACATAATATTCTTGTTATTCCATTGTACTATTTAAACTTGGATAAATTTTGATTTGGTTATTATATCTCGGAAGTGGCGAAACGTCAAAAAATTTAATTTTCCTACTCATTACAAGTATAGGAATTTATTTATAACAATCTACCCGATACTCAATTTATTCGCAATCATCAAGTTAAACCTTGGTGATGATACCTATTGTAACCAAAAGTTGGAAATGCTGGAGTTAATGGCCTAGAAGAGCTGGAAATAGCGTAGTTATATTCATTAATTTATGTATCTTTAAATCTCGAGTTCCAAAATTATTTTCTGATTTTTTTCATGAATTCTATCATTCCACTCAAAAAATAATGTCTACGCTTAGTGTTTCCTGCTACTTCACATACGATTACTACTACTCTGGGCTTTTTCTTCATAAATTTATCTTTCTGTGCTAATATGTTGCGGTAGCTTAAGCATATGTATCAAGTTTTTTCGTTGCTTATGATTGACTAGTAAATAAATAAACACTTCATAAATGTTATTTTACCAAATAAGTGAATACACGAAATAAATAAGGTTTACAGTTACGAATTGTTACCATAGTTTGAATTTCATACAGTACACAATCATCAATAAAAATACCAGAAACACAATTACAAAAGAGAAGGAAACACAAAACTGAACATTTAACAAACAATCAATTTTTCCATATTTCCATTTCGCTATATTTTTTACAAGAATTTTACTGAACAATCAAATCGTAACAATAATTTCATATCTTTTTTTAAATTCAGATTTTATTTTGTACAGTTTGTTTAAGGGAGATAGAAAGAGAGAGAAAAAAAGATGGATAAATACGGTTACAAAGTGTATTCATTTATTATTCATCTGTATTTTTACGAATTGTTTCATGTACAGCACTGATTAAAATTTCCAATTCTTCTTCTGTTTGCGGTTCACGAGATGATGTATCAGCGCCAGAACCTTTCATTTTCAATATAAAAATATGAAATGAATTATTAAAGTGTAGAATTGTTAATATACTGACGATTTTAATGTCATTTTCACAAGTAAACTATCAAATTATATTAAGTTGAAATGGAGATAATAATTCCACAATACCTGATAGTAGCCTCCTTATTGCTAACTTGATAAAAATGGAAGATGTAGAGTAAAACTGACAATACAAATGTCAAATATTGTGAAAAGTATCGAAAATTAACTAATATATCACATAGGGGTTGTGGAGATTATTAAGTTTTTGACTGAGATCATGAACTGATTGATGTTAAGACCACCATTGAAAACCTGGAAGTACAGGGTTCGAATACCGCGAACGGATCGTGGACGCGCACTGCTAAGGAGTCCCACAATAAGACGGAACGGTCATCCAGTGCTTCCAGGTTTTCAATAGTGGTTCAACATCAATCGGTTCATGATCTTAATCAAAAACTTAATAATCTCCACAACCCCTATACTGATAATTATCATGTGCTCACTAGTGATTAGCTTCGTGAGGGAATTCTCGGAGTTCTAGTGAGAAGCCGTAACCAGTGGAGCTAATCCGTGTCGGGTAGAGACAGATATCTACCTCAGTAAAATGGAAGATGGTCGCACAATTTCGTGAATTGGTTGAGGTTAGACATTAGCACCATTGGATGCCGGGCTCAGTGGTCCAGTAAGTTAAGCGTCCGCGCGCGAGGCTGAAGGCCCTGGGTTCGAATATTGTTTTAGATTTATCAAATAAAATACTCGATCTATTGTAAGCGTGATATTAATTTAACTCATAAATACTAAAAAGTATAATTAAATCATTCTCAATTCTTAATGTCCGTAATGGCCATGAGAAATATCAAAAGGTATCCGTGAATATAACAGAATGCTGAGAAACAATCAATTTAGAAATCAACATTTTAGTTCATTGGTCAATGAGACAGAAACTATCCTACTTTAGATTTATCCTGTAAAATGATAAGAATAACATTCTTGGACAATTTACACTACTACTGAGCTAATCAGCAATAACCATTTAATTATTTTCTTATTGCAAGTTTAGGTTGTTTACAGATGTATGTAAACCACGTAAAATAGTAATCCTTCGTAGCCACAGACCAGGATTTGTCTTCCGATATTTCGCGGGTCCATGATACAAGATTCTTGGAAGTAATCATATTTTCTGTTTATTTGTGTAATATTAGCATAAATCCATTCTTGATATCATGTTCAGTTTGCTTAGTTAAATCATTACTATTAGAAAATTTGTATTATTTTCGAGCAAACTCTGAGTTAGCCAGTCAACCAGTCAAAATCAGTGTACGAATCAATATACATATAGACCAGTCAAAGTTATCACAAATAAACTATGAAACGAATCCACATTTTTACTTATTGTTTAAAATTTATTATAAAATAGATTAATTCAGTGTAAAAACGCTGGTGTACAACAAAACAGTAAGTAAAATTATATTATATTACAATGAATAGTAATACTAACTCGTTCACTTCGAAGCTATATGTATGTAACTTTGAATTGATGACAATGAGATTGAAAATCAGGCTTATAAATTTGAAAGACTATCGAAGTTGGTCTATTTTGAGTATCTTTTTATAACTTCATTAAAAATTAAAAATGTTACATTACCATCTAAGTAGTAATCCTCCAAACTTAGAAAAATAACAATAGCTTGTTTTGAATGAACCCCGTCGCACATACCTCTTAATCTAAAACGTTCCTCTTCATCTTTATTATATAATTTAATGATAGCATTTTTCCAAATATTGAATTCAGTTAATAATTTTTGTCGTTTCTCAAGCAATTCTCTGCTAGCCTTTGAAGCAAGCATACGATCTTCGTTGGCTAATTGTGAATTATATTTTGCCATATTCTTTTTAATAGCCTATAACACATAATACGTGTTAAACAACAAAGAAAGAAGAACCCAATGAAAATGAGTCAATTGGCTTCAACAAAAGAGAAAAAATAACAAGCGTCAAATAATTGTATGTGATGCCCAAGATTTAAAAAAATTTCCGTTGATTTATTAATAAAGAACCGAATTGCAACAAACTAATGGTAATGATCCAACTCGATCACCAGGTCCAGTTTTATGTGATTTATGAAAGTAGAAGACATGTGTCAGCTACAAGTATTCAATTACAAGTGCTTTCGAACCATTGTTTCGATACGGTTCGATTACCAAGTGGGCAGCTTTTAGGTTAATTGTATGGTCTGAGATGAAAATGCTAAATTGAATCAAATAACAACTAATCACTGCTTTAGATGATTTTGACATGTAGTAAGCACATTCAGTCACTGTCTATCTACACTAACATGTAATGGTAAACATCGAAAAAGTATTCTTCCATGCAGTCATCGACAGATAAAGTATGTCATGATAGTAGATTCAGATTTTCTGGCCGGAATCTATGGAGATAATGATAATCTGCTATTTAAGGCGCTTTTAGGCACAACTCAAACTTGGTCATATTAAATCAAGATACGTTTCGTCACCTTTCTAATAGTGAACATGACATTGGTCCACACTTTTTATTCTCCAATACCATTGTGTTCTCTTGAACGATTTCTTTTATGTTCAAATCTTTATTATAATACAAATTATAGTTATTTTTCATCCGCTTCTCTTTTGCGTGTTTCCTCTTTTATTGTGCTGATGAGTATTGCATGTATATTCGTGTTAGGTTTTGTCCTATGATATCCCGAGTTGACTGGACTTTCTAAACAATGAAAGACTAACTTTTTAACAGACAGCATTTGAGAAATGCGATTCTTTCATCGACATTAAACTTTTACATATGAGAACTACATTAAATACTACTACACTACACTATTATTCATAAGATACTAACTGATATGCTGATTTTCGTACAACAGTCAGCCTACTCTTGTCTAATTTGTGATTCTCTAGTCATATTAAAAAAGCCCATATTTAAATTATACCCAACATACCTGCAGCTGTTCAGCGCTGAGTAGCGTAGGTGGTCGTGGTCTCCAGATGAAAGTGCGAATTCCACGCAAGTTCATTTTATACAAGCAACGACCCACACAATTCCAAAACCATATTGCATTATCATTCTTCTGATAGAAACTACTTACTGTTGTCGCTATATACCTTCCTGTAGGATCCCATTGTATATCACTAACAGTTGGATGTTCTCCCTTAGCTAAAATCTGACCCTCATTTGCTGAAATGAATTCCAGTATACCATCAGCACTAAATTTTTAAAAAATATGCAATATGAAAGGTAAGCCATATACAACCCAAGTTATGACTTGTTAAAAACTGAAAAATCAAAAACTGGGATGTGTCTCAGTAAGCTAACAGATTGAAAGAATTCGTTATACCATAACCAAAAACATATAAAATGAATCATGGCACAAACTCATAAACAACACTTCCTAGGTGATAACATAAAAATCGTAGCTAAATTCTTCCAATTTATAATGGATTCGTTCCTTCTTTATTTACCAAATGTTGAAATGGGAATTTTCACTATAAATTCACTACATTGTGATAAAGTTCATACGCTTTCAGTTGAAACACTGAAACCAACACAAATGTTTTTTATACAAAGAACAAAGTGTTGGAAGGTAACATAGCTGATGCTTCAAATGATAATGGTATTTGAGAAGAAAGAAGGTTATGATAGGACTTGAATTAATGATGCGGAAATTAACAATATTATTGATATGTGAACGTGAGTGATAATGATTGGTTGTCTGCTTAGTCAGACATGTCGATAGTCTGACAGGTGTCAAATGAGTTATATATTCCCCTATCCTTATAAGTATTATTATTGATTGTTCATTGTTGTTGGTTTGTGTTGGGTTTTTTGGTGTGGAAATAAATTTACGTTGTGGTCAGGTTAATCACGTGTTCTTGATCTGAGTTGTGTTGAAATATCGTAAAGCACACACTGAGAGGGAATCTAGTGTAGATATTTTTCTAAGGTAAATTTACGTCCCATACAGGTAAATGTGGAAAACCAACCGTTATAACAATTTTCAATGGCATAAATATCAGTAAACTGGACAATCAACTAGGTTTCCGTTTGACCTACGGTAGATTAACTATAAATCATTAAAAATAATAAGTTTTTAAGGCAAGCCTTTAGACTCATCCTATATATAATTATGTCTGTTAATTTGTCGTGTGAATAAAAACTAACCGACATCCAATCCCATAAGTTTAGTGAGTCTCAATAATTTTCCAATACCGTCTCGCATATCAATTCGTTATAAGTTATGCAACATTAAAATTTATTTTGTTTCACAATTTTATTTCATTAGAACGGAAGAAGACAAATTAACTGCGTTGTCAATTGTTCATTCGGGAACTGACAGTAATTGATACAGACAGTTACCATCTTGGCCACATCGTATTCTTTCGAATTACTACTAGTCGATCAGCATCCTATTCACCATTCTAACAACCATATAATGCTGATTATAGCAAATAAAAAATCTAGATGGTCTAATTAATAGATAACCAGTTACATTACTTGTCACCAAAAGTGAGTTCCCAACTTATATATATATATATATATATATATATATATATATATATATATATATATATTCGCTTAATGGGACACAGGTGCAAGAATATCAGGATTTTTTAACTTCAATTGTCCAATTATGTGTATAAATTAAAAACAAATAACCTAGCCTAGTCCAGATGCTTGAAGAAAATACCTTTCTTCGGGAAATTGTTCAATTGCATGGGATTTTAATAATTTATATTCACCTTCTTAAACCTGCTGCTACAATAATCCCACCCTTAGATGACCAACGAAGATCATTGGTTCGAGGTGAAGCAAGATCAAGAACAGTAACTTCGCGAACATTAGTTCCACGAGATACATCATAAATAGCGATTGACAATTTTCCACTTGTTACAGATTGTAAGAAAGCGAAACGTGTACCACAAGGTTCCCATTGAAAATTCGATACAGTGCCTTTAACTTCCAGCTGATCAACAGGATATAATTTTTCTCTTAAACGAACAATTTCAAAATTGGTGTAGGTACCCTGATAGTAAAAGAAAAACGAATTAAATCATATCAAATATCAATTAGAAAACTAAACACTCATCCCCATATACAGTGCATTGATGAATCAGCAAAGACGACACAAATATTCATGTCTGATATGCAGTCAAACACTTACTGCAATTGCGGTTACATCATCGTATTCTGCTTTAAAAACTCCAACAAGCATATGATTATCTGCTAAAACATTATTCTACAAGCATATGCTAACAATTATGCTAAGATATTTAGTAAGGTGAAAAAGTAGTTAATAAATACTTTTATGGATGATTATCACTGAAACAAATGTTCATCATAGTTTGAATAATTAGTTTGACGGGACTAGGGGGCAGAGTAAGTGAAAGACATTAAATGTGGAATTTAATTTTGAAATAATCTCAATAACAGGAATTAAAATTATTCCAATGTTTTGCATGTCTTTTTCAGGAAAGTAAGCGATTATTTCCCTGGTGAAGTCCAAACTATTTTATGTGGTGAAACGTTAGAATTATTTTAAACATAGTTTGCACGTTTAATGTCTTATTATCACTGATTCCAAAAACAGATTAGCAATATTTAGCTTTTTTTTTAAAAATCAGTCACTGAATTTCAGAATGAAACTTAATCAAATAAACAGTTTTCGATTGGAAGACAGTAAACTATTAATGAAACGCTAAAAGAACATCAACATTATAGACATTATTCTGAACGCCATGCTTATTAAAATTTGTTGATAACCAACAACAGGTTTCCAAGTAATTACTTACAAAATGTATAAGATAAAGGTTCTTTTAATAGGCATTAATTTGTCGCTCGATCATGAGTTGGACAAGTGCAGCAACTTTGTTTAACAAAAGATTTAAAATCATGATTTTCGCCTAAAACTCATGAAATGCTAGCTTTATTTACAATCAGCTATATATATATATATATATATATATATATATATATATATATGAATCATTTACAGCATTCAAAACTTACCACATATTTCACTTGCTTTTCACCGTCCAACTTCTTTTTTGCACACCTTAATACTTGAACAGCTAAGAAGTCACCTTGTTCATGCCATAGAAGACTGATTTCAGCTACGGAAAATAAATTCTTTGTGCATAGTTCCTGACGACTTGGTACTTCCAAAAGAACAACTCTAAATGATTAATTAATGACATTAAATCAGTGAATAAATGTAACACTGTATTCATTTACTTTTTGTCTACATAATTTATATGTATAATTAAAATAGGAGAATTAATGATGTCCGCTTGTTTACATCCCTTGCAATTTTAAATTAATAACACAGTTTGAAAAGATAAATTTAAGGGCATTTTATTGTAATGTAATGATGATTCGACAGACATTCTAATTGTCCTACAAATACTATAACATAATTACTGCTTAAAGGTTTATAAATATAACAGAAGTATAAAACTAAAGGCATATTCTTTGACTAGAAAAATATCAGAGCTGAAGGATCTCAAGAAAACTAATGTTGGGAAAAAATAGCTGTTCAAGGTTACTTAGTTTTTCAACTGAAGTGGACTCATGAAAAACATTTCTCTTACAATTAATAAATACCGCCAAAACTACCAAATAAATAAGTGAAGGATTGATGAAAGGAATTAAAATTATACTGATACCTTAGCACAGATGTTATTGTGAAAATCAAAATAGTTTGTTCGTAACTGATGAGTTAAATCAGTACATACCTGGCTGGAGTATTATCAGATTCAGGTACCCAGTACGCTAAAATATTATCAGAAGGTGACCAAGAAAAATCACGAATATTGCCCCCAATTTTCTTTTTATCCAAAAGTCTAAAATTGCTAGCACAGTAAATACTAATGACACCGTCTCGCAAGCAAGCAAAATATTCATCCTTTGGAGACCATTTGAAGGCCAGATGGAAATCGATTGGAACGGAGAACTCTCGACGACTAACACAGCGCTTCACATCCCACACGATTGCGTCTGCACGTTCATCGGTGGGAAAGTTGGGGCTTGGACTCAAAGTTATCATAAATCTATCAGGTAAACATGAAAATTAAACAAAATTACAGTAACCGAATAATAATTAAGAGACAAACTCAGAAGTTTACTTTATATTTTTAAGATAAGAATTGTTACCTTTTTTACTTCACAAAGTACTATAGTTTTAAGATTTATCTTGATTAAAAAAATACCTTCCACTTGATTTAACGGTTATCCTTCAACATGGTATAAATGTTTACGTCTGTAAAAATCCTAAACTCAATCTAGTCGTTAAAGATGCTTGACTAGTTTGTATTAGCATGAATGATTAGTTAATATCATCATTATTCAACCAACTTACATAACACGAAAAAATAGTGTGATTCAGGAATTGCGCGCTGGACCATAAACTACACATTTTATTTAAAGACTAACAAGAACACAAACTCCGCCTGGAGCCCCTTTGGATTACATCCCGCCCCAAGCACAAAGGTAGAGGGATGGACGTAGGGTTTGCAACCCCACCCCGTAAAAGAACCCCGTGTTAACGAGATATAGATTACATTAAAGCATCTTCTGTGAAGAATTGTGATGAGGTACGCTGATTGATTATTTCTTATCCAATTTGCGCTAATTGATATTTGGAGAAGACTCTAAAACATTCTCATGTGGAAACTATAAACATACGTTTCTCTTACTGTGATTTCTACTAACATCCAACCTTTTTATTTCGAATATAATTACGTTCCTGTTCACCCGTGTTCTGATTTGGGGACTGATTGAGTGAAGTATTGTTCAAGAATACTAAGTAAGAGGAGTAGCTGGGCAGTAATAAGAGAAATTATAACACCGCACCATAAAAATGATAACCATAAAAATGTATCTAAACCATTTAAACTCTCTCTTGGAGGTTGAGTTTTCACACAGAATTATAATGCCTCATTGTGAAAACTGAGAGACCGATAATCCTTTAGACAACCAAGACAACAATTAATATAAGCACATAGAATGTGCGAAAAAAAGGAAACCGAGAGGGTGTCAATCAAATAGAGACAAAAATGAGGAGATAAAACATGGCTTTGTTTGGAATAAGTGATAGCCATTAGACATAATTTGGACAATTAAGGTAACTTCAGGAGGGAGTTATTTTATTCTGGTCACGAAGAAAATGCTACACAGGGAGTTGTACTGATGCTCTCCAAAACAGCAGAAAAAGAGCATGCAGGAGGAGAAACCCGGTGTTGCTAATCCCCTAACGATAGCAGAAAAGATTATAGAGATCGGTCTTAAAAGAGGCTGTAGTCCATCATACGGAGATGTCCAGAAAAGCACCTGATTATACTGATGAAGAACCTAAACGCCGAGGTCGAGATAGTCATTATTGGGTATGAACCCACCATGGGGCGCAAAGGACCAGAACAAAGGAACCAGAATAGTGAGATCGGTAAATCTGTGTTCTTTTAACAACATGATCACAAGTGGGAGCATTGTCCCCAAAAATACATACCCAAAGTTATAAGGATTGCGCCGGGCCACACTACAGAAAGCCAAATTGACCAAATCTGCACCAAGAAAAAATTTAGGCCTTTGAAAGGTTTAAGAACACAGAGAGAACCAGAGAAAGCTTTAAATCACCGCCTGGTAGTTGCCAGGCTAAAATGAAGCTTAATAAGTACTAAATAATTAGACGAGAAGCACTACAAAGTATGATAGAGCCTTTCTTCGAGATATTAAAAAACTCAATGAGTTCAACATAACTCCCAACAATAATTTTCAAGTTTTACAAAAACAACTGGAAATGGATTAGAAAATCAAAAACTTAAACATGGGCCCTAAGAAACACGAGAACAAAAAATGGGTCACCTTAGACACCCTGTGAAGGATTTAAAGAACGAGAAATGACAAAACAGTCGACAACAACAACCGAATAATGGCGCATAAAGTCAAGGCACATGTTGAATGTACAGAAGTACACAAAAGGGTGAAGAGCATTAGAGATGACAAGTCGATGTAGAAGATCTAGCAACTACAGCAGAAAAAGCATGAGAAAAAGATATGAAATAACCAAATAATGCAACCAAAAAGTTTGCAGGGAAATACAGTATGGCAGAGCACAACCAGATAGCACTTCAGCTGAAGCACTGAAGTCAGATATATAGATAACTACAAGGATGTTTCATGTTCTCTTTAGAAAGACTTAGCAGGAAGAAGTACCAAAAACCAGGAAAGGATACCTCATCAAAATACCGAGGGAGGGTTTTAGTAAATCTGAGGACTGCAAAAAGATTATGCTGCTTTTGGTATCAAGCGAGAGTATTCTTAGACAGAACGAAATATTTGGTCAACTATGAAATCAACAAGATGAATTCTTTAAAAATCGATTGTGCACCGACCAAACTGCGAAATTATTATATTTATTATTTATTATTATTTATTTGAACACATAAATATTGGTACAGGAGAGCGCCAATATATATGTGCCACACCGGACAATGACGCGAGAACGTTTAGATAGAGTCGAATTCCCACCATAGACGAGCTGCTGTATAAGTCGAAAAAATAAGTATAGACAGAGTAGGAATAGAAGAGGGTGAATAACGATGTAGTAACTAATAATAATAATAATAATAATAATAATAATAATAACAACTAATAATAATAATAATAATAATAATAATAATAATAATAATAATAATAATAATAATAATAATAATAATAATAATAATAATAATAATAATAATAATAATAATAATAATAATAATAATAATAATAATAATAATAATAATAATAATAATAATAATAATAATAATAATAATAATAATAATAATAATAATAATAATAATAATAATAATAATAATAATAATAATAATAATAATAATAATAATAATAATAATAATAATAATAATAATAATAATAATAATAATAATAATAATAATAATAATAATAATAATAATAATAATAATAATAATAATAATAATAATAATAATAATAATAATAATAATAATAATAATAATAATAATAATAATAATAATAATAATAATAATAATAATAATAATAATAATAATAATAATAATAATAATAATAATAATAATAATAATAATAATAATAATAATAATAATAATAATAATAATAATAATAATAATAATAATAATAATAATAATAATAATAATAATAATAATAATAATAATAATAATAATAATAATAATAATAATAATAATAATAATAATAATAATAATAATAATAATAATAATAATAATAATAATAATAATAATAATAATAATAATAATAATAATAATAATAATAATAATAATAATAATAATAATAATAATAATAATAATAATAATAATAATAATAATAATAATAATAATAATAATAATAATAATAATAATAATAATAATAATAATAATAATAATAATAATAATAATAATAATAATAATAATAATAATAATAATAATAATAATAATAATAATTTGAATCATTTGATTGTTAGTTGAAGCAAGAAAAGTAGTTTCCATAATTATAGACAGTTCATCATTTGTGTGTGGGCTGTGATACTGCCCGGGTGCCCATACCGAAGCAACATTGCAGAACATTGCTGAACAATCAGTTGATTGGAACTCATAGCTATAAATCACCATCTTTGACTATGAGAAAGCAGCCAATGGCGTGGATAGGAACTGGAGACAGGTATCAAGGTCTTAAATAGCACTTGGTAACGACTGGAAAGGGAAGTTCAGGGCACAATTGGTTGGATATCCCTGGAAGGTGGCCTATTCCCCAAGGGTAGTCGGAACACTTATGTATAGATGTCAGGGAGTACAGTGATGTTCAATCATATTTAGTTCGAAATCAACTGTGTAGACAAGGTCAATTTACCTTAGGATATAAATACAGCCCTAAACAATGACTTTTGGGAATGAGACACCTATACCTTTCCTTACTGAACATAGAAAACTATCCATAAAACGTAAAACAACCTTTGTTGGCCTATGCGCACTTTTTGAAAATGGTCCTTAAGACAAACGAGTTACTTGGCTAAAATTTTAATCTCAGCCAAACGCTTATATTTTATTGATCAAATAGGCCTTACTAGTTACTATATCCACCGTCCAATCCTCCAAGACTAACTTTCATACAGCTCTTGATCAATATACATCTGCACTGTTGTCAGAAATCTTGACTAAAGGAATGGTGGAAATTTGTAGCTCAGGTGGATGATTTTGATGGAGTTCCGTTCTCTGAGCAGGATGGTTTGGTCGTGGGGCTTTCATCGTTCTTCTGAACAAGATCATCAGCACAAACTTCAGATAGAAGTGAAGTGTTCGAGTTTCTCCATATGTGTTTCACAGCTTGTCCTGTACACTTCGAGGTGTACAACCAAAACAAAGAAGTAAACAATGACAGGTTTAAGGTCAACAAGAACCAATCAACCTTGAGGTCTACAAGACAAGCTGTGAACCACATGTGGAGAGATTCGAACACTTCACTTCTATCTGAAGTTTGTGCTGATGATGTTGTTCAGAAGAACGACGAAAGCTCCACGACCAAACTATCCAGCTCAGAGAACAAATCTCCATCAAAATGACCATAGGAATAAAATGAAGTTGGATTCCGAAACCAGTCATATATACAAAAAAGCACTTAGATAACATCAAAGCACATAACAGTAGGTATGGAATATGAATAAAAATAAAAACTTACTGTTCCATGGGTGAAAATTCTATTGTTTTGACACCTGAATGGGGAAAACGACCGATTCTTTGGAACTTCTCACCGCCCCATAAAATAATACCCAAAGAATGCATTGTTGCCAAATAAGTCCCTCTGGGTGACCATCGCATCCACCCATCAGTCCAATGATCCCGTTCTTCAGCCACAACTGGTTCGACAGCAGTATGCCAATAAACGGATCCAGTTCCACCATCATTGTAGACAACCGCAAACTGGTCCCGACAAAACTCATTCAACAACCAGCTCTTTAAATTACCCTAAAATTGACCTCTATAAGTTAACAGAATACAACTCACTAAATCCTTATATTCTTGTTTGGGTGGAGGTACCCATTCAGTCGGAACATTTGTTACTCGTTCGAAATCTGACAATAGAGTAACCTGGAAAGTGTGATTCTTGTCCAGAGGAACATTATTCATGGTTCGGACAGCTTGTGATGCTGCCTTTCCGTTCTCGTAGGTAATGAAAATATATCCTTTTGTTTGTTTTTCATTATCCAAAGGGAACTCATGATCTACTATCGGGCCGATTTTCGAAAATTTATCTAGCAAAAACTTTTTAAGGAGCTCGAATTTAGCTGGGCCAACAACAGGACATCCATCCACTATAATTGTTGAACCCAGATGGTCTTCAACTTTGGGTTTCTGGTCCAGAATATCAGGAATAATTTCTGAAGAGGATAAATAAATAACCAACAGAAAAATAGTTGAACATAGCGTTCAAAATTGAATACTTTGAAACGTACTGAACCAATGAAATCATGAACCCAAAACTGGCACTGTTAATACCTCTACTATTCTGCAGCTTGGCCTGACAACTTCATCTCTCTGTTCTGATGGGGTATGGCGACTTGAATTGATGTAAATACATGCCAGGTTCTACGTTGTGACTGGCTGACTACTTTACATGATATAGTCAAATTGTGCACACATACTCATTTGGAATACTTCCTAAACTATATATTAGACACTAGCCCATTGCTCCATTAAAATTTGACTCTAGATAAATTTTAATATTCGATGAAGCCACAAATCTAATGGCTTCATCAAATATCAGTGTTCATCTTGTTGTACTAATGAGGTATGATAACTTAGACTGATGCATATATGTGCCTGGTCCTACATTGTAGCTGACTGACTGATAGATCTAATGTCAAGTACTAGTTACGAAAAGTTTTAACAGCACTGACATTTTTTCCTTAGCACACCACAAGGTAAGATTTTTTCACTTTCCTAAAATTCTCTTATATGATTGCCGATTTACAGTTTTCCATGGAAATCGGATGAAGTCAAGTCATCAACGTAGGATGACTTGATAAATATGGAGGGTCAACGTAAGGGAATTTTAAACTCCTGATTCAAAACCAATGACGGAAATGGGCTTCATCATCTTAAAAAGATAAAGTGAAAACCTGCCAGTTATTAGGGGATCTCATCTATGGTTGCTTCGTTGCTTTGTGGGATGGTAAAAGAGTTCAGGAAATTCCCTGAAGAAAACTACCTTTCTTGATATGGTTGTCTGGATAGCACATTTTAGGGGTCTAAATATAAAATAAAGCCCAAATGAAAGGACCTGCTTACAACACTGGCAAAACAAAACATTTCACCAGTCCGCCTGTATTTCACGAAGGTATCTTTAGTCCACAAGAATGATGTCAGATGAATATTTTCGCAACTTAGAATATACAATAGTCTAACAATATAATAAACACACAAGCATAGTAAGTTTTGACTAGCCAAAACCAGTGATTTAAACGTTTAATCGTGATCCCATCCATTAAAGACGTTTGAAAGAATTGGGCTTCAGCAATAAAATTCCAACCATATTAACCTGACAAACTTAAATGTAATATCTCGAGATTTATCAAAATTCATAAGTTTCCTACAATTAGTGGGTGAAGTATGTCCTCATAAGCAATCATAACAGGCAGGCTGACTTAAGCCAAGTGACTCCGGACTCCTTTTGTTACGAAACTATAAAAGTTAAATCCGGAATTATTACAGCTTTATCAGTCTTATTCACTGATCTAGTCATGGAGACCTACTATATTGATGATCGACTGGAATCACAGAATAAAGACAAGGCACATACTTTAACGATAACATTAACTGGTAAAGTTCCTATTATGAAGACCACAGGAATAAATCTCAGAATAGTAAACGGAATATTAGCAGCCTACGACAAGGTCTAGGCTGCTTTTTCACTTGGACTATTCTATCTTTCGAAAAAAATTCTTCCAGTAGTATTGATAGTTATCAATATTTCTGTATTTGGACTAAGCTGCCTAACAATATGACCGCTAAATCTGTGTATTCTCAAACTAATAAATTGAAATCTTATCGTTAACGATTCGCTCCACAGAACCAGCGAAAACAACCTGAAACGCCTGTCTCTGTACGACTTAAATGTGACGGGTGGTGGAAAAACATAGTATGGTTGTACAAATTTAGTCAAAACTACAATGCTAACCTGAGTACATAATCGTAATTTTAGGATATATGAGATACAAAAAATGGATCAGCACTGATGTCTCGGATAATTTTGTTTGAAGTATTATACAGAGAGGTAGAATGGTACATGTAAGTTGGAGTTTTAATTACCCTCATCGTCAACGTCCAAACCTGCAAACAACGGCATCGTGAAAGAACTCGAGTTTGCCGGGAACAGAAAACTCAAGGACACTTTCAGTATCTTATTTTTACTCCATATTTCTATCAAGAGACAGATGAAAATATGGATTTTTGTGGTTTATAAGATAAGGGTGGAAATTCTTCAGGTTATCTATAGTTTAAATTTTCACTTATGAAATGGCTCTTCATCTCATTTCCACGGTCTGTATGGCCAACGGGGTAGATTAGTAAACACCTGATTTCCGAACAGCTCAAGTGTCTTACATCACAACATGGTGTTGCATATCCCTCTCAAGGCATCTTTCAAATGTATTTTACTCTGCCTTTTCACTTTCTTTATTCTGACTTTCATATAGACTATGTATGACACCATAGATATGTAGTGACTTACTTTTATCACGAGAACACGATTGGTCTAATGAAAACAATTATTGTTATAACCAATAGTACCAATGACTGTTTTAATGTCCTCTTTGTTTAACTGTGCTAAAAACATCCATTATGTTTACATCGATTGTGACCTCGCGCGAATCCGGTTACGCTCAGTAACCAAGCTTGTATCCTGACACGATCTCAGTATTCTTTTGATACCACGAGGTCTCCAGCAAATATATCTCGACTTGGTCCATTAACTGCCTTCTGATATTTGTCTTCCAGGGGGATTTTATGAATATCCTGGCACGCGTTCCTTTGTAGTTGTGTTCATAGTCAATCTCGACTCGACCCCACGCTACAGATACATCACTTGCAACCCAGTATCTTATTAACGGGTCTGTATGGACTAAGTGATTCCTCAGAGCTCGATTCATTTTTGTTTCGGTACAAATCCAGATTTTTCGCAATGTCCAACAGGAAACAATCTGATCAGTCTATTTTTGAGTTGTGTGTTTGTCTTAGAGTAGTAAGGTTTCTGAATGTCATCAGACATTATGTTACCAACCACAAGGTTGGTCGATTGCAGTGTGAAAAATAACGAGGAAAAAACTCGAATAATGGGGATGACTATTTCAAGAACTAAATAAACAAGCACGTAAGTTATCTACTTACTATTGGTGTAACATTACCAACACGGTAAGATAGAACTGACCTTTGAGTTGAAATTAGTGATTGATTAATTAGATCAGCACCTTTAATTGGGTACTTGCAGTTAGTTAGAAGCTGACTAGGCTGAAAACGCATATCATTGGAGGACTTACTGCGGCAGCAATTCCACCCAGCTGGTGGAGTTACTCACTGCAATTTGGCGAACCTATATTAAAAACCTTGGAATCTCAGTATGTCTAAAACAAAGAAAACGGATCCAGACGTAAAACTCGAACCTACTAACCGAACAAAAGACTCTATAGTCATAAAACAAAAACTGTGTGAAATAATATCAGTGCTAAAAGAGAAACAGCCAGCTGAACCACATGTCCAATCGCCTGAAAAACCGTCTAGGTGAACCATTCTGAATATGGAAACAGCAATATCGTCACTATTCGATGAATTTTGCCAGCAGCTGACGAACTTGAGCTTCAAGCACCCTCATTTCTAAGGAAGCGTCAATGGAGCTAAACAATCAGGCATCGTAGTTCTCCCGACGAAAGACAGATAATCTCTTTGATGAGATGCGATTAGGGGTGATCTTATCCGCAACGTAACCATGTAAACTTAATGTATCGCATACTGTCGTTTGTGCGTTCAAGTAACCACAGATTTTGTCATTTCGTAATGTATTTTTAATTAAATAAACAGATTATGTAGTTAATTTTCATCTGTTTTTAATTTTTATTCGCCACATCTGACTGCGTTACACTGTACGTCCATTGCAGGCAGCGCTCCAGGGGTATCGCGACACTTTTTTGCGCTACTTTTTCATTTCTGCTTTGTGCACAACCAAATTTCGAAATTAATTATGAATAAATTTGAAAGTCTATTTTCCGTTTTCATAGTTGGGTAAAAAGTGGTTTTTCCATTTTGCGTTACATGGTATCGTGAAGTCCTTGAAAATTCATTATTCAGGTGCTGCTATAATAGTTTTTCGATGTTTGCATCGCAGATTAGCAATTATTTCTAATTAGGTATACACTGATGGTAGACAAATCTTTTATTTTTATATGAAATAGGAAGATTCAGGCATATATCGTCATAAAAATTGTATTGTCGTCTAGGCTACCAAAACTGCGTCACAACTAACGATACCATGGTAAGATTTATCGTTTTTCCCGTCTTTATCACAATTTCTGCTGATATTCACTGTTTTGTTCGACTTTTATGGCAGAAATAGGTTTATAGTGAAAACATAAGGTGTCCTGAGTGTTGTAAATATTATGTATATGCTATAGATGGTAATAACATATATATTAAGATGTTAATATCACCTCCTACAGTTGGATATATTAGCCATCAGATGATTGTATTGCAGGAAATAAATCATAATCATGCGGTAGAGGTATAATTATGTGGAGATTCTGCCAAAGACGAAGCTAAGATAGCATTACTACCTCTTGTGTAGATGTACACAAGTATTTGGCTGTACCAAAGCATGTCATTGAGATATGGTTGTGACTTTTTTCTTTTTTTAAATTCTGAATTCACGGGACGACTACCTCAATTCTCAATAGCCGTGCAATTGTTTTGATGTTCTACCTACATTTCAATAAATATTTTTCAAACAGCTTACTTTTTTACTTACATGGGAAACTGTAGAAGTGTTGAGAATGTGTGTCTGAGTGTCAGTGAACTTTTGAATAAATGCACATTCCTTATAAATAATACATCACGTGTTTCTTCTTTTGCAGATAATTTCAAATAACAATGAATTAGCAATTGCATTGGATATGCAAAACAATCGATGCTTAAGCTTCTGCTCTAGTGTTGTACAATAATACGCTTTACCTTTTAAATAAAAATTTTCAAAAACATGCCGGTCTTTCACTGTATTGCAGATTTATTTTGGTCTGTTGTTGAAAATAAAGGTGAACATAGTAGACCTTTGGGGTTATGTCAATGGATGGAAAATAGGGAGTTCTGTGTGTATTTAGGCGAAAAGTGAGTAATTTATCCACATTATTTCCTCTGGACAGGCGAAAAATGCGACATTCTGATGTGTTTTCCCCTTTCGCTACCAAAGCATTTACCCCTTTATTTTCCCTTTTTGGGTTGTCTGGGGAGCTACAATGTTTTGGCTGCCGGTATTATTGCAAAAATACCTAATATCAGAAATAAGTACTGATATAAAGCTGTTACGAGAAAGCACTGAAAAGTACGATTCGATAGTCAAGATATCTTGATCTAAGGTGACCAGATTGTGTGAGATCCTATGTGATGATCTTCGGAAATCCACCAAGGCCTGTCTAGCTTACGTGCTGATGCCGTAAATGACAATTACTCATAACTTACGTGGGACTAGAATAGAATATGCATCAAGAATTTCAGGTTACACAGGACGATTGAAAGTAAATTCACACAGTAGTCTTTATATATGTTCATCGTCTAAGTTTCTGAAGTGCAACCTGCCCAAAGAATTAAATAATACAATCCGTGTATGTTGTGACCCAGACTTTCCTAAGCAACGCAAGAGATAAAGGAAATAAGCGTGATTGACTATCCAAAGGAAGGGTGTGCTAAATGCACTTTCGATCTGTAATTGGATACTGGTTTCTGTTTTTATACTAGTTTCTGGTAAACATTTATACTGAAATAACTTCCCTGTCTATCTTATTTCCAGCTAGCTTCGCAAGCGTTCACAGACCTAACGGGAACAATTCCTGAGAAGTAGAAGTTATTTATTAATGGATCATTTATGCTAGATTCAAACTTTAATAAACGTTTACATTTATAACGCACCAGTCTCTTAATTACGGCAATTCTTATCTATCGTGATACGTCGAAATCCGAACTACTAGTATGGTACACCATGTTCAAGGTAGCAGTATTTGGTAAACGGTATGTATAACTAATCGCGTGTGCGCCAAACTGGTAATTATTACACAAGAACGCGAAACAACATCCCTGTCTCACAGCCACATAAGACTGCACAGTACACTCCCTGCCGTTACGCTATAAGAATAAGTCAATGGCCATATAAATGAATTTATGTAAGACTAAAAAGATTACAATATTAGAACTTCTTGTTAGCAAGAAGCATAGCTATGGTCTGCATTAACAATGGATTCTGACGTTGTAGCTTCATCATTAGCACCGACTGAACTCATCAACTGTGCACATATGTCTTCCGATGCTTCGAGGCATGAACGGATGAGTTTACTTGCCATAGGTTCACTAAGAGCATGGATTGAGTGGTAGTTGCTAGTGAACTTCTCTAGCAGATCATCACTCCCTGTAGAGATTGAGATGTTGTCCAGCGCACGAAGAACCAGGTCCATTATGTATTTTCTTGTCCACCGGTTGCTATGTCGAAATAAGTCTACAAAACTTATAGAGATAAAGGAACACACATACCTCCGCGAATCAGATCTTTAGAATGTGCATACAAAATATGACCACGTTTATAATTTACACTTACAATTTTAGCTGCAAAAGATGTGAAATCATTTAGAAGAGTTCGAAATGACATTGGAACCTGGAATTAATGATACATTTAACTATATTTCTTACCGGAAGAATAGGAAAACGTTGAAGATCCTTCACAGCGTCATAAGGACGCAAACGTAGATCAATGTCTGTTTTACTCCAAATTTTCCAGAACGTCAATAATAGGGAATCACCTCTTCTGAGACATTCTTTTAGGTGTTTATGAGCACTTTCAACACGGTTGTTTGTGTGGTTGCCCAGGCTTAATACATGTCGCCGGTAACAGCGAGCCCACATTGACTTCCTAGCAATCCAGTAATCTTTTATGTAATCATACGCCCGTGGAAAATGCGTTCTTAGATGTTCGTACTTTCGAGTAAATCTGAATATAATGCGCTATGAAAAGCGAAGCTCACATATCAGACCGTCTAGTCTTCACAAGCTGTTCCAAGCATTTGCGCACATCAGGATTTCGGAACTACAGAAAATAATTTGTACAGCTAACACATACCTTCCTGAAAAACGCTCTTAGGACATGGAATGAACAAAGTATTATGTTAGAATGACTGTGCGTAGACTGCACAGCCGAAATTTCGGTCGCTGCCGAATCCATAATGAACGTGCGTGTAGCATAAATACCGCACATTATCTCTTTAAAACATTCCAATAGTTTTTCTATATCTTCGCGTCGTTCTTGACTGCAAAGAGCATACATAACAGTGTGCCCTTGCCCAAGACTATCAGTGACCACTAGCTGGAACAGTGGAAAGCTTTCAGATAAATTTATTACTAATCGTCACTTACCCGACTTTATTGGTCTGATAAGTCGAATCAATACATATTACTTCCGGGAACGCGTGGTAAACAGCTATTTGCTCTCTGCGGCTGAAGCAAATCATAGACATGTTCCCATTTTCATAGAATACTTTAACTTCAGTATTACCTTGAATGCGCTGTAAAATGTTATTGATATTTTTAGTGTCTAAACTCAATTAATTACAATGTGAGTTCAACAACCTGGGTACAACTGTGAACGCATTCTGGCGATATCGTCCTTGGTAAGTTGTTTATTGAACTTCAAAGAAACCAGATACCGTAAGCTACGAGTTGGTGTATTACTCAGTAGAAACGTTCTTAAATACAAGCGTTCACTTGAGGTCAGCTGTCGTTTCGATGGATCGACAGAAATATATCCTTCTGTGCAAGGATGGTTGTGCACGGTTTTAATAGAGGTGAGTTTCAACTCACCATTCAGTGCCCGGACCCAAAATCCTGATTTACAGTGGCAATATTTCGACTTGAAGGATAAATTCACTTGAAGTAAGGCATACGTAGATGACCGACGTCGTCTCCTTTGCCTAGGTTGTGTTGGCGAGTTAGAAGTTGTATGCTCTTCAGAAGAATGATTATTACCATCATCATCTACATCCTGAACGCAAGCATCTGACTCTGACGAACTGCGTTTACGTCCATATGTACAGACATATCTCACGAAAAAGTACTTTAGAGTTGGATCATCACTGTTCTTTTTGCATACTGACATAACGTACTTAGTATGCGTATACTAAAAAAATAATTATTAACCACAGAGGTCATATTACCTTATGTACTTCTTTCAAACAGGTCTCAAAATTGTCCCAACTTGTAAATCTTCGAGATAACATAATATCATTGAAGATTCGGCCTATATCATGCATCATCACGATGGAATCGTCTTCGTTACTTGAAGAATGAACGTTATCAGACATAGTGTAGCTGAACTCAATTCAAATCCAAAAATGTCTTGATTTGACCGCTTCTGAAAATTTTCACGAATTGTCGATGTGACGCACCAATCATTTTGCGACAGTTTGACCTTCAAGTGCTCGCAACCCCCATCAGTGGACGATACCCTAGGAGCGTTGCCTCCATTGCACGCTGAGATGATATCTCAAGTCATAGTGAGTTTATTCACATAGTTGAGCGTTTCCAGATAGACTGTCAGTGCATGATTTTACTGAAGAAAGGTTTGTTGTACTGTAAACTATGTTTCTATGAACAACTGCCTGTTGTCTTCAGTATGAAAGCAGTATATATGTATCCTTCTTTTTTCCTTAGGTAAGTTCAACTGGCCTATATTTCGTGTTTTGGTTTTATCGGTTTAATTATGTCCATTTAACTACTTTGAGCAACATGTCTTTGCAAGTGAAACAATAACTATGACACTTGCTTAGTTTAGTGTTCTTGGTTGTCGTATATACGACAACGTGCCTTTGATGCTGTTGCTGTCATACATTATAAGATAGCGATAAGTATGTTTAGTGTTTATTTCTAAACTGTACATCTATCACTGACCATATTTCATGATCACTGTCATTAAACAATTTCCCCAGCAATAACATCGGTAGCAAGATAGCTAAGTGTCTGAGCTTTTAGTTGCCCGCAAAACAGCAGTATACAGTCTTAGATGTTCTGTGTCTGAATTAAATGCAGCTGGCTGTGGACAAATGTTAAAAATCTTTTTCACAACTGGGACTTTTAGTTTATCACACACTTACTCTGCTTGTATGTTTTCCTGTTAAACTAGACGCAGATGCATGGGAATACTTAAATGGGAGCAAAATAATAACAGCATTGCAATACGGTACTAAGCCAATGTTATGCTTTGCGCAAGTAATAGTAGCTGACCTTATCTAATATTCATGAACTCAAGGTAAATCACAACTGCATAAATTCTTTGCTAAAAAACATGTGATTTGGTTGTTTATATATTCCACATTTCTGACTAAATTCATCAATATTTTTTCATTTAGAATGCAACGGTAGTGAGCCTTCACAGACATTTAAAACTGTATCGCCCTTAGAACTATGGCCCTATGGAACTGTTTACGGGAGATCCAACGAACAGCAGATGATAAAAAGGATGCTGGACGTCCATTTTAGTCTCACAACCACTTCCAGTATTTTGTGACTTCTTTTACTCTTTCGTTTGGAAAAAAACAACAAAACCTGCAGCTTAACATTACCAATACAACTTTTAAACGGGAACTTGGTTTAAACCTTTGTTTGATATTCGATTCTTAATGAAAGTTCTTGAATAAATTTTTGAATCTAATGCTACTTTGTTTTATCTACATAATCGTTGCAAGAAACTTGTGATAAGCGAGCCTCTCAGCACCTAGTTCATGTGTTCAAATGGTTGTGGACTGAATAGAAGAAGCTTTCGCTTAACAGGCTTCCGTGTCTAGTAGCAGGGGATCACCAATACCTCAAGGCAGGAAACTAGGTATGTTAACAATAAAAGAGGAAAAAGAAATCGGTAAATCATAGTATGATACTATACTTAGTCCTTAAGAATAAATCTAGTTGCCTCTTAAAGGACTCCTGGGAAGTCGCTTGGACTAGCTCGGCCGGCAGAAAATTCCAGCATTTGACAACTCTTAAGGAGGAGAAGTTGTGCCTACAGTCCATTCTGCTATGTT